TAATGAATTATGATCAATCATTGAATGCTGCGGTGCATTTTCTTAATATTCTCTCACTTTTCAAATTCTTGACTATGATATGATAATGATCATCCGACTCCAGTTGACCAATTGCTCAATTCCAATTTGAATTACTACACGATGATATCGCCACGTGAGTAATGATGAGACTTGTATGGCGCCTATCATAATTTCAGCTTTTAGCTCCGCAAGTGTCACAGTGGCCAGCACTACCTACCCCAAGGCACCGTTAATAAACAGGTACTATGGAGGGGCACTGCCGAGGCGTGCTGCCTGAGAGGATGTCATGCTTGTGGATTGTTGGTGTCACTTGTGCGGTCATTAGAAGTGTGGTCCTGTGGCCAATGGGCACGGTGGTCCAGGTGTTACAGTTCAGAGTACCAAAATAGGAGCAATGAATTGCGGGTTCGATCCCAGCTACTTGCGTCAGTTCTATTCAAAATCGGTAAGGCGGCAGGGCGGTTAAATGCATCAAAGCATTTGAGCAGTGAGTTGTGGATTCTAAAACCGCAAAAAGATGTGAAACCTTTGTAATGTTTAGAAACGGCTTGCGGTCAAATGACCTAATCCGCGCTGACACCACTATTACTATTCCAATAGCTGGGTAAGCTGGCCAAGGATCAAGCGAAAGCTAGGTCTTCTTTGCAAGTAGTTCCGATGCCATTCAATCATGATTTTTTTATATGACACATGGCTGAATTATTGTGATTAGATCAGGTTAGCCGAAAATTAGTTTTACTCTACTGGTATATCCGATGCTATTGTATCAACGAACCAGAATACGTGAGCCTGTGCTGGCTTTAAAAGACACACAGCTGAGTTAATTTTGATCCATCTATTATATTACTTGAGTCCATGGCGAGAATATTCCAGCATTTTGTTCCTGCCTGTTAATCTTACTATCACATTTCAATACAAGCCTTTTTAATCTGAGAAATATATTTTTACTCAAAGTTTGCATTTAGTAACAGGTAAACGAATTGGAAAAATTAGAAAATTTGAGTTCTATTTTGGCATCTAAGCTTAAAAGTTCGGTTCTTGATTGATAACCTGCAACAATGTTAGTGGAAATTAAAATTAGATAATTTACCTCTAAAAAACGCAATGAAATTCTGGCAGCATCCTAAAGAGACATTTATTTATTTATTTTGAAATCTCAATTAAGTTTATATTAATGTTGAATTCTTATAATCTAAAAACTCCAGGAATAATTTCGAGAGGGGTGGCCCCCACCCACTGGGCAGGGTGGCCCAGTGTTTAAAGTTCAGAGTACCACGATTGGCGCAGAGAGGCGCGGGTTCGATCCCAGCTCTGTGCGCCAGTTTCTGGTCAGAATCGGCGAGGAGGCCGGGCGGTTAAGGGGAGCGTCTACCCCAAATTTTATCTTGGTTTTTTACGAACGGATCACTTTGAAACTTGGTACATATATGTAAAACAGAATTCTAAGACTTTTTTGTTCGCGTAATTTTTTTGAAAAAAATGAAAGAAAACTTGAAATTCTTAGAAAACGGCCAAAAAGGGGGAACCGTAGAAATCTATCTCCACCTAGGATTTTCAAGTTACAACATCGAGACACATATCATTCGATGCGTAAAGACCATATCTACAAACGTAACTTAGCGGTTTTTTGGATTTCTCATTTTTGTGGGTGTGGGAGCATTTTTTCCGATATTTTTCGAAATTTTTCGATTTTACCCCTGCCCTCCCCCACTTTTTGAAGATTAAAATCCGAACTATAACGAAATTGGAAAAACGACAAAGTGACGTTTGTAGATCTTCCTTTTTCTAATCGAATGGTATATGTCTCATTGATGTAGCTTCAAAACTCTAGGAGGAGATAGGTTTTCCATGACAATAAGTATGAATGTTGAGGAGAGCGCGACAAAGTCCCGGGCGCACTGCAATAGGCGCTCAATGTAGCATAGATACCAAACTAAACGTTTCTGGAGCTTGATTCCACTCAAGGATGATGGGCATGCACACATGCACATCTCTCCGTACAACGCCCGGAGGCACACTGAGTCAGACCTCATAAAAACACTATATTTGTAGTGCTGGACAGCGAATTATCTCCTATCTATTACTGAAAGAACTCCCCCCACCCGCCCCCCTTTCATGAAGTGTCGTGTATCCGCAAAATGCTGTGAATGTTCTGCGATGTTAAGAATCGGCGACAGGCCTACGGCCTAATAAACGCTAAAACCGCTATTATTATTATTATTATCGTCATTATTATTATGACCAGCGATCGGTTTTGTATGTAAAACTAGGAATTTTAATATCTAAGAAAATATATCAGTCGAGGCTTATTTCCAATACGTCTGTTAATTAAATTTCGATGGCCTGATCACGGTTTCAAGAGCACAGTGAAAGTTATGCGCATAATTAGAAGCACTAGTCAATCCTGATCGAGTTTTTCAAGAAGTTTTTAAAAAGTTTGTGAGGCAGGACGCTTGTATTGGTGTCAGCCTGACTTGCATGGTTGAGCTGCGATGCCCTGGCCTCTCAGCGCGACTGCTTGATGAATAAGCTGCAGGGGCCGATGATCAATGAAATGTATAATCAGTTGATCAATAAGCCATGATATATCAATGAATTTGCATGGACAACAAGAATATAAGTCAATATGAGGAATATATAGCAGTAGGAGTAATATAATAATAATAATAGCGGTTTCAGCGTTATTAGGCCGTAGGCCTGTCGCCGATTCTTAACATCGCAGAACATTCACAGCATTTTGCGGTCTCGAACTCGCAACTCACTGCAACAATTCTGCTATGCTTAACCGCCCGGCCTCCTTGCCGATTCTGACCAGAAACTGGCGCACAGAGCTGGGATCGAACCCGCGCCTCTCTGCGCCAATCTTGATACTCTGAACTTTAACCACTGGGCCACTCTGGACCCAGTGGTTCTCAGGCCCTGCAACATGCCTACGTTAACACTTGTGGGCAGAATCCTCATTTTGTAATGTACCACAATAAGTGGAATATACATCAATCAGAAGAATATATGTCAAGCAGAGGAATTACATCAAGCCTATGAATATACATCAAGCAGAGGAATCCCTTAGAGGAAAAATAGGCGTAAATTCTAAAATATGCGTAAATCATAAAAATATTCACCTGTCATATGAATGAATTAATACAAGTTTAAAAACTTATTTTCAAAATCAAGGGCTGAAAATAAGTTAAGACCAGCTCATGGCATTAAATGATTTGATGCACTAAAGATAAATTCCAGGTGAGCCGCATTTTGGTAGTTAGGACATGGCATTTTTGCCATAGCATAACAATAGGAACAAACTTCGAGACATTTTCATATCGGTACTAAATTTGAGATATTGTATCTTTTTTTTTTTAAACCAAGCATACTAGAATGCTTGGTTTTTGATTGTGAAAGCGCCCAGGAGTGGCATTCAGTGTTTTGAACTATCATTTGCGCGGAAAGAACTACAAGCCCAGTCGGGCAAGTCGGTAATACGTTTTTCGACATAGCAGGTCTGGGCCTGACACTGGGTCCCAGCTCCCGCCCCAAAATTGGGCTCTAGGTACGAGCCTACGATTCTCCCAGAAACTGTTCCAGTTGCGAACCCCAATATGTGTTCTAGGTCCGGGCCCTCTTCTGTTCCACGGCCGGACCCAAAAGGGTTCCAGGTCAGGTCCCGGAATTGTTAAAATTCCAGGCCTAAAATTATATTACAGGTTTGGGTCCCAAACTTGGTACCATCACGAGAAGTGCGGGCAGTGAGAGCGGCCCGAGTAGACCAGCCACGCTGAGGCGAGAATCCCGTTGGTTTGAGCGGTCTTGTTTGCCTCGCCATCGTCATTGGATCGTCGACCAAAAACCAACCCAACCGCTTGATCGCCACATCACAACTTCCGCTATTCGGGCTGCCACATTTCAGTTATCAGCTTTCGACCAGCTCACGCTTGGCCTTGTTTTGTGATACTTTCGAAAAACAAAAGGAGAATTCAATGTTTTTTGTGCAATGGGAATGGGATGCGTTCAGTAATCCAAAGTTTGTAAAGTAATGCTCATTCATCTCCACACGTAGCCGCGGTATTGGCTACGCAAAGGGGAGAATTATGAGGAAATGTTTCACTCGTTTTTTCGAGAAAAAAAAAAACTTTAGAGAAACCATGTGAACAGAAAATATTACTCATTGTTTACACGCGCCGTCCTGCTCATCTATGTGATGAAAAGCCACATTCTGAGGAGAGTCGAAACTTTTTGGTGTCAGGACAAGATCAAAGTATCAATTGCAGCTTGACTGTCGAGTCATGCAGACTTCTCTCAAATGTTTGTCACCCAAGTGACAGATGTTTCGTACATTTTTCTTGAATGTCTGACATTTGCGCATTGGTATAAGGTGGTCAAGTCATGCAGACGTTTAATTAGCGCCGCTAACGTTAAACTCTTCGTACCCCGCAGCTCCAGACTTTATGCTTTATCCAGAGCAAAAAATTATAAATAATTTTTTGCTGATCATCGGCTCATCATATAGCCACTTATTTACTTCACATTTTCGATTGGGAAGCATCAATATAGGAATGGTTAATAAATCCAGGTATCACTGAATATTCAACTATAATCGAATAATATGTGCACATAAAATAACATGAGTAACCCACGTGTGAATATGTTGTTTATGCACAAATTCTCACATTAAACAGTAACGGTGAAACGGGACACCGCGGAAGCATATTACTTCTGAATAAACTATTTCTATAATTGTAATTAATATCTGTCAAACAAAGAAAAATAAGAGGAACGTCACGGCAGAAGAAAAACCCGTGGCATGAACTGCAACCGGTTTCTAAACCGCTTTTAAATAATTGAATGCAAGCCAAGAAAGTAGGTTCTCGGCAGGAGTCTTACTACAGATGCGCAAAAAACGCGAGTTTTTTGTCAGTGCGTTTTGGGGTCGGTAGAGTCTGACAATTTCAGTTCCGCGATGTCCGCCTGCCGACATGAACGTTGAAGTGCCCCAGATGTCCTCTCCGTTGAGTTACATTAGTTTTAACTATAGCTCATAAACCAATTAATTTGATCGTGGGATTTATTCATTTTTCTACAGCAATGCCTGATTTTCGTTGCTTGCAAAAAATCTAATTCAGTTGTTGGTTGGTTTGCCGGATGAATTTTTGAGATAATACATGCAAGGTTTGTTCAAATTATCAGTGATTACTCGATTAATAGAACGGGTGAACACAGTAATTCTCTATTGTGCTTTAAGAATCCTTGCTACAGTCATTGATAATAATCAATTAGAAGACTATGGTGCGTGAGAGTTTAAACCTCAAATGGACAATTCAATCGCATTCTGCAGTCCGTACTCCGTATCGAAATTATAAAGCGCATTTTTCCTTCGTTAATTTTTGCCCGAACCTTATATCATGATATAAATAAGTTCAAATAAATCACCACAACAAATCGAGTGATAAACTGCGTTATTGTCATGGTGATGAGGCGGGCAGCGGGGTCACGCCACGGGATGCTGGAGGAGCCTGCATAAGGTCTTCATCACAGTGCAGTGCAGAGGTGATGTGGTGCTGCAGTGGTGATGCTGTGTTCTGGAGTTACCAAGACCATCAATTGAGATGTAGTGACGTGATGGTGGTGCTGTGATTTCGCATTGATGGTGCATGGTGCATATGTTATAGATCATGTCGTGATGAGCGGTTCATTTTAAATGCAGTTGCGAATGAAGTATTTTTTAGTGAAACTGAATATCTAGACGTGGACAGCGAATCCCCATTATTCAGTTTGCGCTGACATGGCAAGTTCATTAGCAGAGAAGAGGAAAATTAATCAGTTGCGAAATTTTTGATCATCGTTCGAAGTTGCTGCATCTTGACGACACGAGTCGAGTATGAAGCGTTCCCAGAGACTCTAACGCCAGTTTAAAAGCTAGTCATATATTTCCTGTTGAAAAATAATTTTCCGCAATTCCTTTGTGTATGGATTAAGCAACGAGCATTAAAATCGAGACTTTCGTCATTAGAATGTCCTCAATTCGATTTCTCAGTGCGAAAATTGGAAATGATGAGAAGCAAATTGATAACATTGTACTTACGGATGACCGTAAAAAACGATGATGACAATTGCTAGAGTGAAGCACAAGGAAAACTTTGTAATGAACTCCGAGAAATAATACCAAATAATAAATATTCGATTAATTTTATTCTGTACACCGAACTGAGGGCTCTTAAGGCGATGTGGCTTATGCCACATTATAAGATTATTCTATTCAATCATTATTTTGACTTAAGTAATGCTTAATTAAGGGCCATAAACTGTGTGGCTAATGTCAGTTTTATCGATAAGTTATGACTTCTTTTAAAGTCCAATGATATTCACACCATCAATCGCTAAAAATATGAAAAGCATTTTCTACTCTTCTGAAATTATAAAGGGCAAGACGCGAGTAATGAACTTCATTTAAAAAAACAATCGAGCCGTCACGTACAACTTCAGCTGTCAATAATAAAGTAAAAAAAACTATTTACCGTTTGATCTTTGTTATTTAAAGAAACATTCGATCTTTCCTGAACTTCGGCCAAGCTCGAGTGCTGGAGAAGACAGGGACGCTCGAGGCGGTCCAGTTTCACGAGCCAATCTACGATTGAGGTCACACGAGATTGCTCTGCAATCAGAGCCGTCCGCAGCAACTGAATCCTATTAGAATAAAGAGGGCGTGCGGCCATCGAAATAAGTCGGAAACGTCATATGTTTTGCATCTATCCCTTTGCATTGATATCCATAATAGACTAGAGACGCCAAGTGGAAGGTGAAATAATGATCGTCAACTGATTAAAAGCGGTTAAATCTCTTGACACAATTCAGAACCTGAAGTGTAATTTGCAAACGTGGTTTCAGCTCAGTCTTATTATCGTCGTGCTGCTGGCTGTGTGTAGGACAATATCGTCGTGCTGCTGGCTGTATGTAGGACAATATCGTCGTGCTGCTGGCTGTGGCTGGCTGTATGTAGGACAATATCGTCGTGCTGCTGGCTGTGTGTAGGACAATATCGTCGTGCTGCTGGCTGTGTGTAGTACAATATCGTCGTGCTGCTGGCTGTGTGTAATACATCATTGTCGAGCGGGATCATACGCGCATGTATTTGGGGCATGTGCCGAGTGATTCAGATCACCAAGATTGGAACAGCGAGTTTGGGGTTCTAATCACGCAACTAGTTGTGAAATTTCAGGTCGAGATGAGCAAAGTGCATGGCCGGGTAGATAGGAACCAGCGGTAAGCCACCAGCATGGTCTTATTAAAGCAGACTTAATAACATTATCAATAATTACTAATAATTTAAAAATTTATTTTTTAATAATATAATATCTATGATGTGCATATCATGCGCGGGTTGTGTAACGCATGCAACTAATCTCATGCTGAATATTTATAGCGAGTTTCTGTTCTTTTTTTTTCGTTAATGAATTCACGATTAGCGGCTACGATCAGAATTATGTTATTCATTGGTGGTATTTTTATTATCTTCATTGTAATGTTTTACTTTTACTTGCATCATAGAGGCCAACACAGAAGACAACTTTTTTACATTTTTGTTAAGATGCACTCAGACTTTTCCATTTTCAGAACATGATGGTTAAACGAGAAAAATGCAGGTGGATATTCAATCAATTTACATAGTGCTAAATTCACTCCAATGAACTGATTAAAGTATCATTGCACTTGCTTCTTTAATTGGAGCTTAAGCCCAGGCTCCCGTCAAATAGGTGTACGCTGCGATGTATTACATCACAAGGTTGTTACTGACGTGTGTCTGTGTGAATTTCATCGCAGGCTTAGAACAAAACAACAAGTCAGACATTTCGTACGATTTCGAGCACCATAGTTCAAAGAAGTACGATGCAGGAGTTCAAGAGTTCAACATAAAGGAAGATAACGCCAGTGAACCCGTCAACACAAATCTCCTTTATCCTGACTACTGGCAGGACGATTCTCCGTTCGAAGAAACGGCCAGATTCGCAGTGAGTAATTTTAGGCCTAAATTTATTTTTCTTGTATCTGTTAAATGAACATCGGAAGGCATACAGCGCCTTCTCAAAAAAAAGAAATTGATTTAAATATCTTCATTTTTTTGATCTTTTATGTCTACAGGAGGTGAAGCGTTGCTGTAATTCCGTTTTGAAAGCGTTTAGCTTCAATAAAATATTTTTGTTTGAAAAAAGTCGATTTTAAAGCTGCAGTGCAGCTTCCGAGTATTCTGTTGAGAAAGGCTCTAAATATTCTGGTCTGCATAGACGTAGAAAATTCTAAGAATTCCAACATAGAATGAGTAACAATTTTGGGCCGGACTGTAGGTCAGCCAATATTTTTTCAAATAATATTCGTTTGTCAGTGTTGACGGGTAAATATTCTCAGCCCTGTACTGCCAATGCGCGCATTTGAAGGAAATTTTTGGTGATTCTTTCAACTTTGGCGAAACTTCTTCTTTGTACCCCATGTAGGCGATCTCCCCCGAGTTCTACGCGTCCACCTTCGGCAACAGTCTGCTCTCCATCTACACGGCGTCGGTGCTCTTCAGAAACTCGTCGACCATCGCCGCGGCGCCCATCGTCTTGACGGTATCGCTGCTGGCCGCTTTTGGTGCGGGCGTCGGGGCGCTCCTCGGCATAGTTCTCGTGCCCATCCAGATAGCCAATCAAATATTAGCTATCATCGCCCTGGCTTTGGTCGTTGGTAAGACATCAAGCGTTCATGGTCGGTTGAATAAATGAATATTTCATGAATAGATGAATCGTATGATGTTCACCAGTTAATTCAAGATTGTTGCTCACTCCTGGCGAGCAATAATCATGAAGACACTCGTCAGTCACTTGAGTAGGCTATGAGTATTCCGTTAACCGGGAAGTTAAGTGTAATTGGTTGAACATCACTCCACAGTCCACAAGGATCGGAAGAATAAATTTAATAGAAAAATATTCTTGTACAAGTTTTGTCCCTCATCCGGAATACCATGAATATGAATCCGAGGCCACTATCTACCATGAATTTCTCAACTCTCATTAAATTAGGAACGTGATACCTCTAAAAAAATAATAGCTTGCATAGAAATAAGAAATCCAGGTCCTTCTAAAATAATATTTATATCCCAGTGCAAGAGTAATCTGCAAGGCAATTATTTCCATAATTACATAGCAGACGTTATTGCGCTAGGACATCAATGTTGGGGTAACTAATCTCCCCTTCGTTTCCAGCATTCATCATTGAAGAAGCGAGTATCTACAAATACTTGAAAAAGAATTACTTCGGCGGAGACTACGAAGACGAGACCTACTACGCGGTGCAGCCCATATCCTATCCGCAGGACTACGGCAGGAGAGAGGGGCAGGAGGACCCTGGGGAGGATGAGGCCCTGACAGCCCAAGACTGGAGCCCCGCGGGGGGCAGCACGTCACCCCCGAGCTCTGTCGCCACGTCGGGGCAGAGGAACAGAATTGACGAAGCGGCGCGTCAGGTGTACTCGGCATTAAATAAATACGACCACAGGAACCAATACAAGGCTTTGGCTCATAAAAAATTTCGGGGGTCAGAGCCAGATAAATATTTCTCGCAGATGTTTTCGTAAGACAACAATGTGTGCCGTTGGCCATGTTATCGTAAGAAAACAGCTTTATTAGAGCTAGACATCTTTTCACCAGCATTGATAGACGAGGATTTTTTAGTGACGCGGCATTAGGATGGTCAGGTAACTAACTTGACACTTGTTATGGGGATTTATCCTCATAGGAATATTACATTACAGAGATGGAATAACGGATCCCGTGTTACTCCTTCAGAATATATCGATTTCATGTCATCATTTGCTCCTCCCCTGCCGATGAACTTTGACTCCATTCATTCGAGTCGTATCAACTTCCTGATGAGGCTCGATCTTTAAGTCATGAATGAAAAATCATGAGTTGGAATAATTCATGCACTGATGGAAATTTCTTCTTCATTTTTCGCCCTCATTACTAGAAGGTAAGATGCACATAACTATGAAAAGCGTGCCGGTATTTTTTTGGCGATGTTAATACGTACCTAACTAGGTGCATGAAGATCCTTGGTGGAGACTTTATCTTCTTAGATTGCTGTTGCGAAAAACGTATCGTCTAAGATTTTAGTTGTCGACATCAAATTTATAACGATTACAGTCAAGTACGCCTCATCTCCGTATATTGTGATGACGACATCGCACATTAATATTCTAAGATTGTAAGTATGGACACCAAATGTTCTGCAATTGTTTTTCTGACCACAAAGTCTTACTGAAAATCTAGTTTTTGAATGGCGTACCGGTATTATATTTTTGGGCATTAGCTAAAGAGAACTGGCAGCCACGAAAGGTTCCTACTGTATGAACGCGTGATCAATCTTTTTCAGATGAATTATAGACGCTGTCTCTTTCTTCTCAGTCTTTTGGGCGGAACGAGTTTAATTCAGGAGGTCCTTTGGGATAATTTACAACACAATTTAAAGTATATCTGGGCGGTGTCTTAGCCCCTTGTGCTTTTCATATACATTTGAACGCATCATTGAGACGAAAATAAGAGAAATACCATAGTCCTCAACGAAATAGTATGGAAAGTGCGGCATTTACAGTGAGAGGGGGAAGAGAGTACCACATCCAGCTCCCTACATGCGAAGATAGTAACAAAAGAAAAGAGGTAGAAAAGAAAGAAGCAATGCTTTCTTATCAGTTGAATACGCGGTTTGGTGCAGGATACGCTTCCACGGCTTGAACCAGTGCACTTCAGCGAGAAATTCATGCGTAACGAGTAGGGATGGACAAAAATCTTTTACTATGCACACTGTTGTTTTTAACCGTAATAATTTAGTAATGTATGTATGCTATTTTCTCTGAACGAAAAAGATCACCACACTAGCATAGAAACTTTTATTGCTTGGTTAGGTGATGTTATCAAGTAACATGTAGATAACGATCAGACATACTTGTAATAGATATCTTTATCTCTGATCAACAGTCCGATTATTGACCCATGAAGGAGCTAGTGGCTTTATATTGCCACTTCAATACTCCTCCCAAAAAGACCCACCAGGGCCCGAGGTTTGTAATTGAGGCTACGTTATCATGCCTCAGCCAATCACTAATTATCTGACCATCATTCCGCGCACATTATCACCATCAACCATGGCCACTAATTAAAATGGGCACAGTTAAATGAAAATTTTGGCTGGGACACTAAAATTGACGCTTTTTCACATATCTTAAAAAAAGAAAGTAGTAATATCTATTGAATTATTCAAGGTAATTTTTGGGTTCGAATTATATTGAAGTAAAATAGTTACTCTTTACATTTGTATGCTTAAGTTTGATAAGAAATTGCATGAAAATTCATAATATTAGCATAGAATAGTAGAACAGTAGGAGAAACAGTTGACTGGCATAAATAAATAATTTTTCCATGGAATATATTAACGTATTACATAAATATTTAAAATAACAACAGTATTTAAATACGTTTCTTTAGAAATAATCATGTTAGTGAAGCTCCACAAGACTTCAAAATACAAGGCAAAATGGGAGCCAAAATACCTGTCCTAACCGGCATACAGGCATTTGATTTTGCCCTAAAATTTAGTTCTTGTTAACTAAAAGCCACTTCCTGTCATTGAAAACGATCCTACAGTTTGGAAAACCGTACAAAATTGAGTAAACCATCACTATATGAAAGAACAAGTTACTATCAGGTAGAATTTAAAGATATTACGTCACACAACTTAGGTATATCACGAATATTGTAGCGGTTAAACATGTCAAGTCTAACCTTGGTATTGGAATGAATCAAGCTTTCTTTGAATCTCCTCTAGACTATTATGCAAGTTGACGAGATCGTCTTTGTAGAGATCCAATATAACTTCATTTTTTGCTTCTTCTGTAGCTGTATCTTCAGAACCTTCCGTGGTCTCGGGGTTAGATGCAGCTCGTTGCAGGTGTTGCAGGTGGGGTGGAATGCAGGTGGAGAGCTGTAGGAAGGCATGAGGCTCACAAAGGCGCGAACGAGTAGAGATGCCAGAAACCACGCTCAGTTCGTGAGATACGCCACATAATTCCTGAACAAATAGGGGCAAGTCAAACGTTTTGTAGGTTTTAATGAAATTTAACGTAGGTACATCAAAACAATATCAGGAGATACTTGAGGAAATGAAATGCCAAAGAAAGATTGAGGAGACCATCAAATGGTGAGACGAACCATCAAAGGGGCGCTGTTGAGCAGGGAGTGCAGCAGAGGGTCGAGCAGCGTCTGGTGGTTGTTGTAGGCTCTGAGGACCACTTCTGAGGGAGGTCGCATCAAGCCACAGCTTGCAAGGCTCTCTGTTGGTCCAAATGAGCCACACTGAAAAATATAACAAAATTTATTATCTCAACAATAAGTAAAATCAATAAATATGGAATGAGCTCATTTCTTCAGGACTACCAATATTAAATGTTATAAATAATTTCATGCTAAATACACTCATATTATCTGACTACTCTAAAGTGTATTAAAACTTTGGAAAATTTTAAGTGAATACTGGTACCTTTGTACTTTGATATTTTTAAATAAAAAAATAGCTAGAATTTTAAATAAACTGACAGCAATTATTAGGATATTTAATGAATTTAAATCTAGTGAAGAAGTTAGAAAGAACTTGAATACCCCAGTTGTGATTTGTTACTCTTGTTGACCATTTTCCAAACATCTGCAGCTGAACATTAATTCAAATAGATGGCATTTTAATTAAATGTAATTTTTTAGAATTTGCTACTAATTTACTCAAACTCTAGATTTAACTTTGCAAATATTGTTTTCCAAATATGTAGCAGCTTACACTGATCACCCTGTGCATATAATAAAATTATACATCAATTATATCGAGAGGCAAATCTAAAGATCCTGATCACGCAGAATTTATAGGTAGGTAGTGTAAAATTTACTGTACATAAAAATGGTTTCAAATCAATCAGCAGCCAAATCTAAAGTGCTTCAATATCAGCAAGCATAATGTTTATAAACAGTGTAGTTCCAGTGTATGGTATCAAGAAAATTTAATGATATAGGAAGACCTTCAGTATGAGAGCAGCAACAGCAGGCACAAGCTGCTGTACAAAGGCTTTAGTGCAGCTAAGGCTGGACATCAAAGCCTGCTCCCCAGAACCACTCAGAGAGAGCTTAAACAAATCAGCAAGACTGTAGACATAAAAACCATCAGTTATGCCATACATAGTAGATCAAGCAAGTTATTCAAAGTTAAAAGATACAGAAGTTAGAAGAGAAGTCTTTTTACAAGATATATAAATAAATTATAAAACAACTGCAAAGTATATATGGTACTGTCAACTGAGGTGACTTTGATCACCGGGGTGCCTTCAGCCACACCTGCAACAGAAACAAATGGCAGCCAAACAAAATAATAAATGTTGACCAAAGTCACCCCAGTCACTTTGGCCAACTTTTATTATTTTGTTTTGCTGCTATTTCTTTCTGTTTTAGGTGTGGCCGAAGTCACCCCTGGTGGCCAAAGTCACCACAGTTGACGGTACTTGCTTTGCATAAAGCATTGTAAGATGTACAACATATTTTATTTAAAACTTTGAAATAATTCTTAAAACTGAAAAGAATTATTATTTTTAAAGAATTATTTTTAATAACACTTCATCATACACAAGAAGAAACTATAATATACTGGTAGTACAGAAAAATATAACATATTAAATGATAACAATGGAAAATTACCACTCAAGCACTCATGATGAAGAAACTGAAACTCCTGAACTGTGAAGCTGAGAGTAAGCAAATATTCAAAGTGAGCATGTTGCTCTTTAAAAAGTCTTTACATCTATTTTTGACAAGAAAATTTAGGAAGTTCTGCTGAAAAATCCTTATTACTACTTGCAAAATTTTAGGCCTAAAAACATGATCTTGGCAACCTAATAACCTAGCTCTGCCTAGTGGCTCCTAAACTGAATAAATTCCAATGTGGACAGAATTTTCCAAGAATTGCAAGTAAAAACAATCTTTACACAAGTAATTTTTTCAAAAATTGCACAGAAAAAAAACCTGAAAAAGTTTATGTCTCATATAATGACATTCAGAGGCAACGTCTGCTCAATTTTTCAGTTTGGACACTGGCCAGATTGGATGCTAGTTAGGGCCTGGCTGATAGGCCCTAACTAGAATATAAGATAACTCATAATTGTTAATCAATACCGTTATTTAAAAAGTAATTAATATTATATTCATTCTCAAAATTCTTTTTGACAAAAAATATAACAATAGAATTTATCTATAAAAGAAATGCAGATTTTGGTTACAAAGATTAAAGATAGACCATTGTGGTTACAAAAAAGAACAAATAATCAAGAAACCAATTGTTTTATGCATTACAGTATTAATGACAATGAATGAGCAGTACTATTAAGATTTTAAAAAGATTTGCCTATTAGATGGAAGCATCTTGCAGATTCTTTGAAAATGACAGTTAAAAAGATGCTATTCACATTATAAGACAATCGTTAAGTTTAACAACTTAGAGCTAAAATTTTTGATAGTTTCCTTACATCTGAATTATTTTGATAGCAGTTAACAATAGCAGTAATGAAACCTAAAAATGACAATTTTTTATTATTGTACCAAAACTGATACTTCTTACCTGGCAGTAGAATTACTAAGCAGCAGCACCAACGCTGCAGAAACTTGGTCAACCAGGATATTCAATTGCAGTTTATCCAAGCCATTCAGAAAATTAACAAATGAATTGCTTACAATCATGACTAAATTTTTAGGCTTACTGAACTCAGTGGTGAACTGAAGTAATGTACAATTCAGAAAAATTAATAACAAAAGTTCAAGTAGTTTGGACTTAGGAATTGTAAATAATTTAATCAAGATACAAAGTTTACCATGATGAAGATCAGAGAAGAGAGAACAAGTTTGAAAATCACATGACACATAACATGTGACTTAATTGTGTTGGTATAATTTTCAATCTAGTACAACTACAACAAACTGATTACCTACATTACAGCTACCTATTACACGATTATATGACAATTGCAAATAGGGTAAACGCGGTATATTCCGACACTTTAAGGACGCATCAAGAAATGAAAAACTATAAAAAAACGTATGCGTTACGTAAGTTCTGTTGCCTTCACATGACTCTCAAAACACTTCACTACGCGTCAGCAACGATGAAAAGTCACAAAATGTTGCCATATTTAAATTTGACACATTTTTTGATGATCTCACCACGTGGCATGCATTGTCTCTCTTTGGATCTCAATATTTTCCCGCTAGATGGCCAAGACCTAGTGTTTTTGCAGTATTTCGACACGCAAATGTATGACGTCACCATTTCAACCATCAATGAACGCATAGTGACAAACCAGAGATTTTTTAGAATCAGTTCATTTTCAATTTTCTCATTTAATCAAAATTTAAACCACTTTGTTATGTATGATAATGCTGGTATCCAGGATACTTTGCTAGTCTACTTATAGGACTCAAAAATGAACTTGAGGGAGAGTCTAAAAAACTCTCTGCTTTGCCACTATGCATGAACGCATGCGGCATGGAACTAAAACAAAGCTTAATATAAAGAAAAAACTAGAGAAGTGACGGAATTACCTACGATGTCAGAATATACCGCGTTTACCCTAGCACTTCTTCTTGTGTGGTGATTATTGAAGCTCTGGAGACACGTCCATCACGGTCCATGTAGCTCCATGACTGAAAGGGTGGTATCACTGGAATGTAGAAGCAGCAGCCACAGCAACTGTGGACAGATGAAAAAAGTCATCAGCACAGAGCACTGTAAACTTGGCAATGATAGTTAACCAAAGGACAAAGGTATCATGTATAGGGAGTATGTTTCAGTATCGAGACCGGAGACAGGGAATATTTTGCTGAGGGCAATACAGGGGGCAAAATATTTCAAGGTCACATAGTAAAGACAATTCTGTTACATTTTACTAGGACTAATAAGTATAAGGTGAGCATGCAATTGAGCTATGATACCCCAGTTAGTATCTAAGGAATGCCCTACCTTGTGCCACATACGAGAACCTAACCGTTAAGGCCAGTCGTCACAGTGCGGCGAAGTCCGTGAGCGAGAAATTCGCGACAAGGATGTAGAATCTTTGTTCTGTGTTCAGATCGGCAAGTTGCTGCGCTCGAGCTTGTTGCCTTTGTAATATGATACCTGAGCCAGCACCCATCTTAGGGCTGCGGCCGTCTCATAGGTGGCCTAGGAATGTCCTGCAGTCGGCTAGAACTAACTGGCCTTGGCCGACCACTGGCCATCCATTATTACTCGCCCCTCATTGTGCTCCCCTTCACCGCAAGAGTGACAGGCAGGTAATTTACGAGGTGTGTTTCCCCTCATTTTTCCCCAACTCCTTCATGAGAACTGCTGCTTCCAAAGAAAATGTGAAATCTCCGATTTAGCAGTAATGAAAAAATACTTTGTTAGAAAATATCTACACAATAGAGGTTGATTCAGATATGTCTCTAATATCGATCAATATTCAATAGAGAATAAATAGTACTACATCCCTATGTCTCACAAAATTACGTAAGTCGCATATAGTATAATGAACATTGATTGATTGATCTACAACATTTTCCTCTATCATAACTAATGTTAGACAAAATTTACATATTTTTTGCTACTGTAGAGAAATTGTAAATAAATAGCTGAATAAGCATGACAAAATTCAGATTGATATTTTATTTACGAGCGGAGTTATAATGACTATACCTAGTGATAGATTCCCATAGGGATCCAGCCAAGCCTGCCTGAGGGCTCGCGGCTCTCAAGCACCACCTTAAAGGAGGGTCTAGCCTGGGGGGGGCCACTTGGTATTTGGCACTTCACTTACAAGGTTTTTCTAAGGGGGAGGTTATTGCGGATGGTGATAAACAATCTTCCTCATCCGGAGTAATGGAAAAAAATGCAAGCTGGTATATAAAACATCTGTCAGAGGGTTTTCATTCTAATTACATGAGCCGCCATAAAAAATTGTCTATTCAACTTAGATTATTCAACAGACCTGTTTTAACGTATGCATGGGAACTTTTTCTAAAGCATCACAAATGCAGGAAGTAATTTGCGAATGAAATAAGTTTCATCTTCAAATAATAATTGAAACATTTTAGTAAATTAAAATGAAGCACTAAGTTTTACAACGAATTAGGACTTTATTAAAAAAAAAATAGCTTTCAAGAAGAATGGGCGATGTTCAAGCTCATATCAACATTTTATCAAAATACACTTGATAGATCAGGTCAAGTAGACGCTATCTATTGATATCGCGACGTGCTGCTGATGAAGAAGCACTAGGTAATGGTATTTTGTGACATTCATGCTCTGAAAGCTATCAACCAAAGGCCTGTTGCATAACTCATCTACAGTATAACGTTGATCAGCAATAATGCAGTTAGCTCTGACAATTCTGATAATTTTCGCATCATGTCAAGCGGCAGTTCATTCTGCCACTCATTCTCCTGAAAATGTGGGACCAGAGCAAGCAGACCTTAACGAATTTGCAACCCAGTTACATGCCCTAAAGTCCGTTGTCGAAAGTTCTCAGAAAGAGCAATGGGAGGCACTGCAAAGTTTGAGGTTCTACCTTCTCTCAACGAGAACAGCCATCAAAGAATTATTGTCGCAAGTAAAGGAATTGAAGGAACAATCATCTGTGTGTAAAGCTGACAAGGAAGACACGTCTGCAGAAGAAGACAAAGAAAATGAGAAAATTCCTGCAGGTCCATCCGCAGCAGGTAAAGAACTAAATTAATTTTGAGTACTCAAGTACGATGAAGTACCAGTCAGTACTGAATGATTATGTTGAGTTAAGTTATCTTCCCGTTGAGTATTTACCATTGATTCTACAATCCATTAGTGACATAATATTCTAGGCATAAAAAAAACTGTTCTGCCTAATTTTCAACTAACACAATGAAAGTTTGTGGGACAGCATAGTATCGTAGTTTTAGTTATATAGAACGAACCATGCTTGGCTTGTCGTCTATTCAAATGTGATGATTCTGACTTGTGTTCCGAAGCAATAAAAACGGGATTTTAAACATTCAAATCAAGATTTTTCCATAACTGATGTTAAAGCTAAGTAGCTCCTGAACATTTACAATGTTTGTGAGGCGTGAGGTTCGTCACCGTTCTTCTGGGAGAGAAAAATACACCTGCATAACTTGGACTAATTTTTTCCTGAAATCGTTCTAAACCTGGCGCGTCAACGATGCTATTAGGTAGTTTCGCAAACCATGGCATCACATGTCAAGGATGCGAAGCGATAAGCCATCGTATCTCATTGATAACTTATCCCGAAGTTTTTAAGGCTTTATCCGAGGCTCATGGTTCATTCTATTCCATATTCCAGTAATTCTTTTGGATTCTCATGTAAACTATGCATATACTTGTAAAGATCTGTGAATAAATTATTTGACGCTTCCCATAATCTTTTTTGCGTGCGTCAGATCTAGATGATGAATTTATCAAATTAGAATTGTATTTATGCCATGAAATAGAAAGAGCATAAAATGTTTGTTTGTCACCTGAATGCTGCAGTATCCCATAGAACTTTAAATTGGATTTGATAAGTCTACGGTAAATACTGCAAATATTTAACTTACAATATCACACAAAATAATTTCACCACAAGAATTCTCAATTATGAATGAACTAGGTTGAATAACTATGATCGCAAGTTTCAATCATTTTTAATTGATATAAATTGAAGCAATCCAGCTGAAAAATGATTCCAAATTTTGAGAGAATTAACCTATGAACTTAAAATGACTTTAAAAAATTCTACGTAAGACAATTTGGAGCAGAATATTTTATACAAAAATAACTTATAAGGACTAAACGCCTCATTTATAAGTCCTGCTGGTACTAAACACCCCATGTGCTGCTAGCAAAGTTTTATAGCTCACAAGCGCTGATTTTTGCAGCGTCAAATGGTCAGATAATTTTTGTTAAAAAAACATTTTGAATAACGAGATATTGGACAAAATTAATCATCCTAGAAATAACTTGAACCTGATTTTAAAGGAGGTTTGGTTCCTTGTGAAGCGAAGTTTGGTTCCTTGTGAAGCGCTTCCTTTCAAGATTTTGTATTAATATAATAAAAATATTTAAAAATTTAGTATTAGATTTAATTGTAAAAATAAGACTTTTTATATATGAACGTCACCACAATGAATACGACAATAGTTAACTTCATTCCAGGTTTTAGTATTTTGATTCATTCAACAGGAACCTCTTAGAGTAAGTACTTGGGTGTTGCAACGGTCATCCCATATTAATTACTTTGTTTAATAGATGAATTGATTTATATTCTTTATAACCGTTTTTATGTACTTGTATTTGTGTAACAATTGTAGCAATCTGTTATACAGGTTTTTATACTTAGACTGAAAAAAAGTGTCTCGTTTCCCCCCAAATTAAATGTGAGATGCTTTGCTTGCAGGAGGCTGTGTGTGGCCGGGAGAGGTCGTGGCGGGCCGATGCCTTGCCTTCATCACGGACAGCTTGATGACCTGGACGGACGCTCAGAAACACTGCAGGCTAGTAAATTATTTTAATTTTTGCAAATATAAACTCCCTGATTAAATTATTTGGTTTCAACGCTTAATGAGGTTCTTCCTGGTTTGCTCCAAAGCAGCAAAGTTATGCTGTAGCATAACTAATAGGGTTAAATTAATTACAGGATCTGTATGCTCAGAAGTACATGTAAGGCTCTAACCCAGTCCAATGGCCAAGGGGGCGATGATGCAGATTAGTGTGGGTTGGAGTTGATAAATGCAAAACTCTGGAAACGAGCTTTTGGATGCTATTTATTTGAAAGGAAATCGTGAATGCGTAGCGATGGATGAATGTATGATGCGTTCACCGCATGTGCGCCACTGATAAAAATTTAATTGATTTGACAACGGTGCTATCTTCGCCGCATCGGTCTCTAGTTCTCGTTAGTGGATGCAGAAAAACAAACATTGCTCTTTTTGACCGATCAGGGCTTGTTTTACTGGGAGGTTAGGAAGGATGATTCCGTTATAAATACTAAATTTTTAAGTAATAAAATTTCATAGATCTTGTCGTCAGAAGCAAGGGATCCATTGTTTGTCGAATTGTTCGCTAAAGATTTCTTTAATGAAATGTAAAATTTATTGAAATTCATCCTTCTTCGAAAACAGCAAAATGTATTCAATAGGCAAAAGTATCTACCTTCACTCAGATTTTTCTTATTTATTAGCGCATTTTTCAAGTTTAGAATTATTCGTGTGTATTATTGCAGGTCTTTGGGAGGCACTCTGGCAGGCGAAGCAGATCTGGCGACCCTCAGCCGACACCTCACCAGCATATACGGGATTAATGCCTCGCGTAAGAGATAGCAGTTTGCATATTCAAAAGTTATAGAAGCTCTTCTTTTTTATCTGTAATCTATGTAATCGATATTCTATGAAATTTTCCATCCATAAGGGTGGCTGAGGATCAGCATCAAATTTTCCGAACAAATATATTTTAATCTATTTTCAACATGTTAACTCCACTATGTAATTTGTTTTCTTCAAAACCTTTTAATTATTGACGATACGTTACGAAACTAAATGGTTAACCTCACCATGCATGTAACACTAGGAGTGCGTTGGTCGGTGTGGGCGGGAGCTCGCCAGACCCTCGACGGGTGGCGGTGGGCGAACAGCTCGTGCTCTGAAGGTGCTGTAGGGGACTCGGTGTGGAGTGCCGGCCAGCCCCCGGCACCTGCAGTGCCAGGAGCAGAGGCACTCTGCATGGCACTGGACGGCTTCGACGAATACAAAGGCACCGCCGTGCCGTGTTCCGCTCTGCGCAGGTTTGTGTGTGATCTTGCCTGAGCTGCGACCACGATACTACTTCGTCGCGAGAGGTGTGGAGATGCGAGTTCTGTTTTACAGATAATTGTAAGGCATCTTACTATGGTCTTCAAATTTAATGTTGTACTAAATTTAAATTATAAAAGGATATGTGCAACGATTCTAATGTTTCAAAATTATGCTGTTGGTTTGTATCTATCATTAGGGTTATCATTGGATTCTATTAAACGCCGTACGGTCTTAGTTGAGAAAAAATAGGAAGATGTTAAAAATGTGAAGAAATTATTTTCATCTGCAACTACTTATAGTCATGCTACTCATTCACCTGCTTTTCAAGTTCTTAACTTAAAGGAGCAATGTGCTGTTTTAGAAAACGATTGCAAAAAAGTGGATATCGAGTAAAATATATTTGTTTACCCCAAAAATTGTGCGTCTATCACAAAGAAAGTTTCTGGAGTAACTTTTATAAATTTACGCATCACCGGAATGGCTCGAGAGACCGAGGTACAACATACTGAGTTGCTTACGATCAGTACCCAGGGTAGGTGAATTTATTCTGCCTTCGTCACTTCTCACAGTTCAGGCGAGTAGAAAGTGAGAGCAAAGTTACAGGTGTTCGGTCAGAGGCAGCTACGGCTGGCTAGAAATATCATGCAGTTGGAATGAAGTTACAACACACCCGTCACACCGTATTGTTCACTCCACACTTGCACAAACAAATGGAGATTTTAAGGAGATAATGGAACATTAATCCCTTAATAGTTGATGGCGAACTTAGAAGATTAAATTTTAATTTCCTGAATAGTTTATGTACTTATGACGTTGTGATTTAACTTTGTACCAGTTTATCATCGGATAATATATTATCAGCACAACATAAAAGTATGAAAGTGCATTTTGGGCGAATTTCATTATTGTTTGTATTGACTCACGTACACATATTTTTCCCTCAAGATGAGATATCAATAGACCGGTTTTCTATGATTTTTTTATTTTCTCGGAGCAGTTTACCTCACATGCTATGAAATTAGATGTTCGTTCTCTCAAAATTTCTATTAAAACCTGTAGAGTGCATAAACATTGACTCACCCTCAATAAAGGCATTCTATTCCTGCAAAGCATTTATATTTTAAAATAAGTTTTTAGAAGCTAACAATAGAATTATGCCATAACTAACTATTATTCTGCAACAATAATTAGAGAACAAATTTTAACCACGTCTCAACCATAACGTAATCAAATGCTTGATGTATAAACGATATACATACAAAACAAGTCCAGTGTCCAGTCAACAAGGTTAACTTTGCACAAAGATCTTATTCTTTAATGTACAACGACAACATCGTTGCTAAACAACAACACAACAAAATTTGTCGCGGCGGCTGCCGTGCAGCGTTGCCGGTCATTGACCCCACGGGCCAGGGCGCCCTCGAACGTGTGAGCTGAACTTACCTGCCATGCCAAGCTTATTAAGCAATATCGTACGCCTCTGAATAATAAAAATTGGAAATGTTTGGCATAATACTTGAAACACTGCAACTTTCCTGAAGGGGTTGAAGGTAAACTGAACTTGACATCGAGGAGGTCAACTGCCCTGTCAGGTCGCTGGGCAAACATTACTTTCATTTAAGATTTTTAGGGAAGCCATCAAAAGGATTCGCAGTTAAAAAGTCTTCATACTAGCCTGAGTTTACAGCAACGGTCCATTTGCTGCACATGGTCAGTATATAACGGGAGATAAAGTATGCCATCGTAAATGCAGTTATACTTCAACTTGTGCTTTGGCGCGCCTCTTCTTCTCATTGAACTCTGCCAGTCGAGCGATCGAATTCCTTACAATTTGAGTATTCAAAAAACTCCATTCAGACATATAATATTATTTAAAAAGAGTCACAAAATTTTCTCACGCATTTAAAAGTTTTGGAAATAAGTCAGAATAATATAGGTATGTGTTTTTTTAGTGTTGGTGTTCCGTTGTTCTTACATGGCTGAGAATACTGAAACAGTTCATATAAATAATTTCTGTGAGAGCAGAATTCATCGTTAAAAGTTCAGGTTTTTATATACAGTAAAACCTCGGTGTCATGAATTTCATATTTGAAATTTATAGAAAAAAAAATCAATGAATTAACACGTTGTGTTAATTAGGTGTAACATTAACTCTTACACCTATGTTCTGAATATATCTTTTAATTGGAACTGAAGTGCGAATGGTGAAAGTTGTGGAAATCTGTTGCATTCATGGCTTGAGATTCTAAAATTTTGGTTGACATGAACGATTTAGAAGGTTGGCAGGAATTAATGAGCTTGGTTCAAAATTGTTATTTCTGTTAATAAAAGTGATGATTGCACACGCTAAAACAATCCCTATACACGGCTGAAAAGTTGCGCACGTGTAGTCTATTGAAAAAAGCTCAAACTGTACACACATAGTTTTACATCAATACTTATCTCAGATAGTGAAACAGTTGTTATCCACAAAATAAGGAAACACTTTATCACTAAAGCACTCAATCACTTTAATTACCTGAAAAATGACGTCAAACTGAAGCAATACCGTCCATCGTGGCACTTTCAAGCGACAGTGCTGGCGTGGCCCCCTCAGCCGCGCCGCTCTCAGGTTATTCACCCCGTCGGCACAGCCACGGTTCACATTGGCCGCAAACTTAACAGAAAAAACAATAATTGTCCTACGCCGAAAATGATTAACTTAGAAATTGATTTATTAAAATAGGTGTGAATAGAAGTATTCATTTCCCTGCTGACTTGGTTGAAGATCTCCTGAACAATTTGTACGTTCGTAGAGTTTAAATCAGAGAAGATATGAAATGAACTGGATGTTGACACCCAAGCATGAATGTAATGCGTGGTCATTTGAAACATGTAGATAAAATAAAGATAATTAAAGGCATTTTATCGTGATACTTTATAAGTAGGAGGTATAATAATTATGAATATACAGTGAAGAGAACGATGTGCATACAGCGCTGGCTAGTCCAGAGTGCATTGACCCCAACCGGTCCAGGGTGACTGACCGCAGGTACGCGTGTCCTGGCCGCACCTGCTGCTATATCGAACAATAAATAATTGAATTAAAACCACGTAACTGGAAGTTAATATTTTACGTCGAGTTCATGAAATATTACTGATGAAGAACCAGGAACCGACATTTAAAGCCAAGTATTTTAATAGCCCGGTATTATATTAAAGCCCGACTTCAGAATAATCGTTAAAATAATTTGGTTGGTTTCTCAAGCCACAGTAGACATAGAGAACAGCTTCATCAGAGCAATTTTGGGCCCATGAACAATATAACTAATATTTCATTCAGCATTCAATTTACAATGACAGTTAATTTTTTGATCACCCAATGATTTCCCTTCTATTCGGGAATAGAATCTCTAAATTCGCATGCAGTTCAGAGTGAAATTCTAATCATCCTTGACTTCAATAAGTGAGGTGCATGAACCTTTTGGTGACGTGTGGGTCATTTGCAGCTATTCATGAATACCATATGCCGGCATTGATTAAAATGTCTATTAATGAGACGGAATTTCTCTGCAGAGAATGAAATGAGCTTATATTATGTATTTGTTATGATTTTTTTATTTATACTGCAAATTAAATTTTTAAAGCAAGATTCGGTTGGCTTGTGGCATCCTCGTTCCCTTTTTGAGCTCTCACTTTTGCTCAGCCGCAGTGAAGGGCGGAAAATAGCAACTGAAACGTTCATCGCAGACCTTGGACAATTCTACGTATTCATTTCGATGACATTAGCAACAAGGTTTCTATTACTGGGTATGAAGTCAGACATTATGAAGCCTAACAGTATGAAGCCTAACAGTATTAAGCCCAAAAGTATGAAGCCCAATAGTTTGAAGTAGAACAGTATGAAGCCCAACAGTATGAAGCCTAACAGTATCAAGCCTACAGTCTGAAGCCTAACGGTATGAAGCCTAACAGTATTAAGCCCAAAAGTATGAAACCCAATAGTTTGAAGTCCAACAGTATGAAGCCCAACAGTATGAAGCCCAATAGTATGAAGCCCAACATTATGAAGCCTAACAGTATGAAGCCTAACAGTATTAAGCCCAAAAGTATGAAGCCCAATAGTTTGAAGTCCAACAGTGTGAAGCCCAACAGTATGAAGCCTAACAGTACGAAGCCCAAAAGTATGAAGCCCAATAGTATGAAGTCAAACAGTATGAAGCCTAATAGTACGAAGCCCAAAAGTATGAAGCCCAATAGTTTGAAGTCCAACAGTGTGAAGCCCAATAGTACGAAGTCCAACACTATGAAACCAAACACTATAAAGCCCAACGGTACGAAGATTAACAGGATCGAGGAAGCCGAACAGTATGAAGCTCAATATTAGGAAGTCCAACAGTATGAAGCTCAACGCTTTGAAGTCCAACAGTATGAAGCCCAGGTGAATGAAGTCCAACAGTATGAAGTCCAACATTATGAAGCTCAACAGTATGAAGCCCGACAGTATGAAGCTGAACAGTATGAAGCCCAACAGTATGAAGCCCGACAGTATGAAGTCCAACATTATGACGCTCAACAGTATGAAGCCCGGCAGTATGAAGCTCAACAGTATGAAGCCCGACAGTATGAAGCTCAACAATATGAAGCCCAATAGTTTGATGCTCAATAGTACATATGAAGTCCAACAGTACGAAACGGAGAATCTTCATAGACCTTACAACGCCATTAAATGAGGCTGATGTTTCATCTATTCAACGATTGCATCGGCGATCTAATAGAACAGACAATGAATCAAGGATTTCTTGAATACTAAGATCATTTGATTGATCGAATTAAAAATTCATCAAGAACTTAATAGAGAAAAAAATTACACTAAAATTCACCATATCTTCATGGAAGAAAGTGTTTGAACTGGCGATTGAACTGGACTCAGTGACGTTTCTTCTAAAATGATTCTTCGATTGCAGGCTAATTTGTTCAAATATAAGTTTTCAATGCAATCTGTGACTGGAATCCAGATTGAGTACAAACCTAAATGAGACCAGCAAGGCAAATAAACTTGATGATTCACCGTGTTAATGCAAGTCAAAGCGCTGATCATTACCTTAGACGCGTCGATATAAATATAAAATATTTCTGCAGCTCTACTGCGTCACAAATTTGGCGCCAGAACGTTCGAGTTGGCACCGACACATGTGTGCCAAATAATCACTTATTGTTTCCATAAATTGAGTCAACCATGACCCTTAAGTTTTCGATATGGCACTCGATTATACGTACAAAATAAAATTCGTATGACTAAATTAGTTGTTTATTAGATAACGTCTTGAATATAAGGTGAACATAAGAAGACCAGGTGCACAGATTATGTTGCGATATCCACAGTGAAAGGTTACTTGCTCAGTGGCATGATTGCGTCTCATAATATCATCGAACTGTTTTGAGCCTATATGAGACAAGAGAATCTTAGTAATGAAAAAAAACTTAAATGCGAACTTGAAATAAAATTTTCATTATCATAAATGATTAGGAAACTTTTTTGGTCCAATTTCAGCTGAGATATGTATAACAGGTGCTCTAAGCGGTGCAATGCCGTTGAGGATTCTTTACTTCATCTGTTTTTCTAGAATTGAATTCTCGTTTACTTTAAAATGCATTATTCAACCTCTGGTTAGACCAGCGCTTCAGAAGCGTTTGCGTACGCAAGATTCAACAGCAACACAGCGCGGGTGAACGATCTCTGCACCATCCCGGCCTTGACTGTCCGCTTACGATCGTTGCTGAATTTCAAAGCCTAATACCGAATGTTTACTGAATGTAAACATGATCTGTCGGACGTTGATTGGTTTTTTGTTTAATTCATCAATTGGTTATTTAATATAAACATGATCTGTTGGACGTTGATTGGTTTTTTGTTTAATTCATCAATTGGTTATTTAATACAAACATGATCCGTTGGACGTTGATTGGTTTTGAGTTTAATTCATTAATTGGTTGCTGAATGTAAACATGATCTGTTGGACGTTCAATGGCTTGGAGTTGAATTCATCAATTGATTACTTAATGTTAACATGATCTGTTGGAGATTCCTTGGTTTTAAGTTTAATATTCATCAATAGGTTACTTAATGTAAACATGATCTGTTGGACATTCATTGGTTTTAAGTTTAATATTCATCAATAGGTTACTTAATGGTTTTGGTTAGAATTGGTTTTGGTTTTTGGTTTTGAATTCGATTCAAATGGTTAACTAATAAAATCATAATTTTTTCGAAGTTCATTGATTTGCAAAATGTTTCATCAATTAGTAACTTAATAAAATGATGATTTTGTACTTCCATTATTTTTGAGATATGTTCATAAATATGTTGCTTAACGGAATCATTATTTGTTGGACATTTTTTGTTTTCAAATTTGATTCCATTGGTTATTTAAACAACTTATCTTTTGTTTGACGTTAATTAGTTATAAATGTGATTCAACCGGTAACATCATGTTCTGTTGGACCTTCACTAGTTTTGAATTTGATTCATCAATGCTTATTTAATATTTTCATGATCAGTCGGACATATATTGGTTTCGAACGTTAGTCCTGAAGGAAATGGTATTGTAAGGACGTAACGAAGCGGAGATCTTCGTGAAATTAGTTTTTCGAGTACCAGTGGTATGAACTTCAGAGGACACTAACTTACGTGTTTATCCAGCTAGAAAGCTGTTCAGCGTATTTTTAGCTCGCTTGAACTTTTAGCAAGTTGTTAATCGGGTAGGAAGTGAACGTTCATCACGCAAGTGGGGGGGCAGTAACAAGCTTCTTCCTACATCAATAGATCTCGACAATCCTTGAACGGCGGCGCAAAAACACACCTGAGATGTGGTGTGAATGACCCATGTTGATATTTGCCTTGCTGCACTTCATCCTGGCTTGGCATTCAGCAGTCATGAGCTTATCAGTGACGCCTGCATTAAGCATCGCTGCAGCATCGACGAGGATGATGGATGCCCACACGGCCTTGCGCTGCGAGATGTGATGGGGTGGCGCCCCTCGAGCTGACTTTGTTTGTTCGTACGGGTGATCAAAACTCCGAGGTGGCTGTCTTCCTGAACTCAATGGCCACATTCAAGGTTACTGCTGGCTCAGGCATCAACGAGTTATTTGAATCACCAATAGAGATAGCTACTTGGAAGAAGCTTATAAAATAGCTGTGTAGTTCTTTGGCCACGCCGTACCAGATGCCTTCAGGGTCTGGTGTTGTAGGAGAACTTGGAGGTTGACGGAGTTCAAGTTACTCTGTGGCTCATAAAATATGAAGATCACGTATTACATTACATCGGAATTTTTAGCTCTAGGATTTACAGAGGAGTTGTTATATGAGTTGTGAATATTTTTTATAAGGTAATTGAAGGCCACTAAAAAAAGTCTAATAGAGCGCTTTGTAAGAAGTAAAAAAATCCATAAATTACTGCATTAAATAATATCGGATTTGAATTCAAGCAGGACGGACATTGAAGGACGGAAACTTGCCAGACAACTTAACGTAGTTAGTCTCAAAATGGCGGCGCTTTCTTGAACGCGAGCATGCAAAGTCACTGAATATCAATTTATTGAAATATAAATCGAAGACAAGCAATTAATTTAATTAATTGGTTAAGTTTATAGAATAGGTTACCGAAACAGTGCAATAATCGTTTTCTCGTTATAACAATAATCGTTGAATATCTATATAAATATACACTTAATTTAAGGAGACAAGGTCTTGAGTACGTTTCCTAACAGGCGATATATCATGCTGCGAGAACAGTCAAATTCAGCCCACATGTTTTAACATCAGAGTGACTATTTAGAAATAAAACAGCAAAAAGTAACGCAATACACTATGAAAAAAATATAAAAAGCATGTTGACAATGCGATGCTTCAAATTTCAAACGAAAATAAAACTCTAAGGTTTCGAGACATTTCAGTTTTTTCCGAACACTTCAACAATGTAATTTGTAAAGTTTCACATACAAGTCAATATTCTCATGTACGAGCTCAATTGGAAAAATAGATTTATCAATAAAATTTTTTTACTTTACAAATAATACGTCTGAATTTTAAGATTTATTGATCCTGAAAAATATTCGTCTAGAAATGTATGGAAAAAATGATTATTGCGATCCAATGAATTTACTTCCTTACATATATAAACTGATTGAACTTTTATTGAAAAGTTATTTAGCGAAATTTGGACCTGCTGCCTCTCGTTAATTTCGCAGATCTAAAACTTAAATCGTTGACCTGATCGTCGGAACTGAGAAATTTATTTAACTTCGTAGTTTTTAATTTCACGGCGACTTTTGGGATGTCTCAATGCATGAAGTCGTGCAGCTAATTCATGACAAGGGGAGAAAAAAGGATTACTCGAATTCTTAAACGAGAATCTGAGCCAAATATCGAAGTCAGAAACTCACGCAAAGAATACATTGTTTTCATATGGCTACCGTTTTTGGTTAATCTAATTTTGATAAGATATAATTATTTACAGGCTAAATCCTTGGAATACTGATATAGAAGATCAACCTTCATATAATTAGAATAATTATAAGAATTGAATCAAGTTCAATAAAAAGTACTCAAATAAATCTCTCAAACTCTAAGATGGGAGAGATTAAAATCTATGAAGGATCAAAACAACTACTCGTACGTGGTTCTAAGCAATTCAGTGGTTCTAAGTAGGTTAATATGCTGCTTTCTAAGAGGATCAAAACATTCTTCCTCGACAATTCTTCAATGCAAAATGAAAATAATTTATTGTAGAATATATATCGGTTGGGTTTTATAGTTTCATTTATAGAAACTAACTTTTATCATGCGGTACGAGATAAGAAAATTGCTACAATTGGAAAATTCAATGGATACTTAATGTTGGTGTTTTCATAATGCAAATGTCGTTTATACCAATTCACATTTCTAAATTATGGGATGTTTTTTGATTTAGGGTGAAACCTGCGTCAGTTTTTATTATTATTATTTTCAGCATTATTGTGTTAATATCTGTGAAAAAAATATTTGTGTAAAAAATGCATTAATGCAAATAATAATACCCTGCAGATCAGCATTACAAAGGGGGGGAAGCTTAAATTCTTTCATGCTAACGAGTGCGTGACAATTTACTACTGATTCATTTACCTTACCTTTTCTAAACGAATTTTAGTGATAGTCTTCGAGATCGCTTATTTATGTATTCATAGACGAAGTTTAACAAAAAAAGCTGGTAGAGGTCAAGAAAAAGAGGCAGTAGTTGCCACCATGTGTCCAGCAGCCATGAGAGCAACCTTGACCTGACGCTGTTGTTGCTGCGCACTTAAGCTCACGTTGCCTCACTTACTCTCAACCCTGGTTATCCATCATGAACCTTTTAGTGTAATAAAAAACGTGATAATGTCTTTCTATAAATCGTTATGTTTAAAAGTTACCGAATAATGGTTTATCTGGCAGCAGTCATGTCGCAACACTTCAATCGAAGACAGAAGCATCACTGGCATGAATAAGTTAATTGCTGGTTACCATTAATATCAAGAATCTAAATATACCAATAACTTGCTCTGTTTTTAGAATGTTACTGAACAATTTAGGAAGTGATGACATAAGAAAGTGGTCCATGTGAAGAATTTATCCATTGACTCTTGGCAAGAACTGATCGAGCTCATATAAGACTTCCAAAAAAGCGTATGAAACAAAAAATGTTGACGATGAATTTCATACTTTTCGTTTTTGTTTAAAATTTAAAAGACGGTGATCATTTTCGTATTTTTCTTAGTTTTTGAAACTTGAGAAATTACGATAACTTTTGTAATTTTCATAGTTATTTCAAACTAGCGAAGACGTTATAAATTTTAGGTTCTGCGTAGTTGTTGAAATTTTTGACGAAAGCGACTGATTTTCTATAGCGTTGATATCTGAATTACCTCGCTCTTGTAAGCTTACGATAATCGCATTGATTTACCGCTTGTTTTCTTATACAGCTTTTTGCTTAGCGAAGAAACTGCATCAATTTGCCGGACGCCCAACGTCTGCTCCACCATTATTTTTGAATGCCGACACGCGCTAATTAAATACTTCTTCCGATAGAGATAAAGAACATAGCTCACTCTGTTGCAAATCTTTGTGTCCAGCCGTCCATTAGTATTAATGGTCAGACTCACCGTCAGCATCCAGAGTCAGAGTAATTATTAGCATCCAGAGTCAGAATCATTATCAGCATTTCATCACCATCAGTCGAAATCACCATCCAGCATCAGAGATTTGAATTTGTTTCGTAACAACTCGTTGTTGGTCTAATGCGCGTTGTGAGTCAATTCAGATTTCAACAAATATTGCTCTAGTTAATTTATCCACTACTTTAATACTTCAGGCATTTTCTAAATGCTCAAATTTCTTCGGCAGAATGTCAACTAACGAATAAGTTTTTTCGTAGAACTCTAAAACTCTTTCACTGTGACCAACGTTTGTCGTAATGTAGGTAGGAGCAAAACAAATAGATTGAAATGCTATTTATTTAACTTGGACTTGACTTCTCGCGTATACAAAAGTTGTCTGAACATAATGCCATTCAGAGATGAGCGTAAGATAAAATCTTAAACGTACGTAGCATACATATCACATGAGCTTCTCTACATAATACATTACATTAAAGCGCGTACATTACGTTAAAGCGCGCATCGGCTGGCTACATTTGAGAGAAATAAAATTCACGGTTGACCATGGTGCCGTACCATCAAAAATAGCTAAGAAATAAACTTTTCATCCACCAATCAACGACCGCTTTTCCTGTTGAACCCACCAATGACATACGAGATTTTGGCCGCGAGTTTTGCGATATCTTAAGCGAGTTTTGATTGTACGGCCCAAGGTAATCAAGCAGTATCGTAGTTACTTCAAAATATAACAACACAATTGATCAAAAAACTAAAGTTCTTTCCAAATATAGTTCAGTTTGTAAGCAGCACTAATTTACTGTAATTTTGCGCCACTGCCTAGAACAACGAATGCTTGTTTCAGGAATGGTGTGCAAAAACGGCTGGAAATTATTGGATACCATGAAGTTGATATGAAAATTTTGAATTTCTGAGACGGATAAAAGCTTTTACGTGCGCTGTTTATAATTAACTTGGTCAATATAAGGTAGCCGATTGCGTAGTTATGAAATTCCATAACTTGCTACGATAATATGATTATTACTTAACAAAGAGTACCCGTAACATATTTAAATTTAGCCATGATAGTATTTACTTCACCGAGCTTGCGTTGACGATATAGTCTTCACATTGTTATTAAAAATATAATACTTAGATAAACTATTTACAATATAGTTGGTAACTTACACAATTGGGAATTTTTACTCGTCGAAGCTACATTGGCACTTATTTATAATTTGTGGGATTAGTCATTATCTAGCTTGAACTAGCGCTAGATGTAGCGTGATTATGGTACATCTTAAAGCGGACTCAAAAATGTAATCAAACGAAATGTAATACCATAAGCAAGATAAAATGTGATTCTCAACAACACTGATTTGCACCTCTTGTTTTCCGACACAAATTTCTAGCAACACAAATGCATAAGCAAACGATCAAGAACTTTAATACGTCACGAAACTATTCAAAACACAACATAAAGTCTCGAAGCTCACGGCCTATAGTGAGGTGTTCCGGACGCTCAGTGTATTCGTAATGTTCGGTGTGTTCGAGAGCTTGCATGTGATCACCATCATCAACATTGTGAGCTGACTATGATGCCCAAGTTGATTTAATTGTATCACTGAAAGCCATAATCTTTTCTTCGGCTATGGGCTTGCCTGATTTCATTTCCCCGCATGGGTTTGGTCATCTTTACAATATTGGTCTCAGCTTATATTATAGATTAGAGAATTAAACTGACATAGTCCAATAGCCGTACAAACATTTTTTTTATAAATAGATGAGCTTCTAATTGAAGAGTATTTGTCCTCGACGATAACACATCTCAACAATTTGATTCAGTTGATAATAACACAATGTGCCTCATTTGGTCGCCACAACGCGAGCCGCACGTGATGGCGACGAAAAGGGATTCTCTTTCAAGGGTTTCAACAAAATCAACAATTAAACTTCTAAAAAATGAAGATAACAGAATTAATGCTACGATCAAAATGTTTCTTGAAAGCAATGAACAGGTAATGAGCTGACATAATCAGGTAATTAGTAGTTGGCATTATGAACGTGTGACGATCATTTAACCATGCATGAGAATTGTGGTCGCGGGCGGAGGCCGCGGATCGCTGGTGACAGTTTTACTTGAACGCGATTTCATGCTTACCTGGAGACAAGAGAAAACAAGGACTTTAATTTAAATACTACTTACACAAACAAAGTTCGAGATAAATAAATCAATCCTCTATAGCTATATAAGTGATATGATATAATGCTACACAATAATCATTCGTTTAATATGCATAAGTTGAAAATCAATGTTCTAATTATTTGATAGAATGAAGGTAGTAAGCGTTGATATTATCATTTATGCTGTCAAGAAATACTGATAAATAATGCTTAGTGATAGTTTCCGTGGTGCGATAATTTCCTAAGTTCTTAAATCTCACCTTGAAGTCCTGAGGACACAATGTTGCGCCTTGGACGCCCTCCAATGAAGGCAAAGGACAACCAATAGGGTTTTCTAGAGTAAAATTTTGAATGAGGGCCGTGAGAAGAAGGAATATTTCCGACTGAGCTATAGTGTCACCCAAACAATTCCGTTGTCCTTTCCCGAAAGGTATGAAAGCCTGAGGGCACGTTAGCCGCCCTTGCTCGTTGATGAATCTTTCAGGCCGAAATTCTTGCGGTTCATCCCAATACTTCGGGCTCATGTGACAGGCATAGAGAAGAGCCACGACAGAACTTCCTTTTGGGATAAAATATCCATGTAAATTGAAATCAGCTTCCGCTGCGTGGTTCGGAGCAATAGGGACAACGTTGGCAATGCGCATGACTTCGTTTATAACGGCCTGGCAATAAATTAGTCGGGTTTGGTCGGCCATATTTGGGAGCCGATCCCTGCCGACGTGTTCGTCGATCTCGCAGCGCATCTTGTGGACGACGTGGTCGTGGTGGAGGAGGTAAGCGAGCACCCAACTTGCGGTCGTCTTGACGCTCTCGCTGCCTGCGCTCACCAAGTCGCAGAGCACCTGAGCGACTTGCTCATCTGAGCGCAGAGAGATTAACCAATTTATTAGCGATTTTCATAGATTTTCATTGTTTTACTAGTTGACGGACATCAATAAATAAATTGCAATCAGTCAATAATATAATTTAATAAAATAGAATGTAATATAAAATAATATAATATGGTATAATATAATAACATTATATTACGTTAAAATTAAGTTAAATCGACAAGTTGAGTCTCACCGAAATTGAGGATGGGCGTCTCTCGCTCGTACTCGACGGACAAGTAATAGTCCAGTACGTCCTTGTCGTCCCCGGGTATGTAAGTTTTCCTGCGCTCCTGGATCAAGTTTCGGAAGAAATCCATCGACTCGGCGTGATTGGCGCACAGCTTCTTCATGTCCTTCACGACCCCAGGCAGGAACTTCAAAGCCCAGATATAGTTCACCATGTCCAACTTAGCAAAGAGTTTGAATCCTTCTCCGTTGATTTCTTTGTGTTTCAGGAAGATAGGATCGTAGGCATCATACCGAGTTGATAATAAGAAAGATGTGATGACGTTCGTGGAGAGGGCCGTCAGGAACTGATCCATGCTGACCGCTTCCCCTCCCGTCTTGTGGACGCAGTCCAGCAAATGGCGAACTTCCGTCTGGGCGAGAAGAATAAACGATATGAACCAGTGAAGCAAATTTCTCATAGATGATTGGAAAATCTACTTCCAGTCCATGAAAAAATGATTACTAGCGTAAAACACTGCACATTTGTTATTATAAATAGGATTTGTGTCTTGTTTGATATAACTTTGGATAAATTACCTGGATTCTTTGCTCCATCTGCTCACGACCGGAGCCGAATTTCTTCATGCCGAGCTTGATGAGTTTCTGGTGGATGAACCTGCGCTCGTCCTTCCACATCTTGCCGCGCGTGTTGAGCACACCTGGCACCACACGACATTGTCAACGCGAACACAATACGGTAGCAAGGATAAAGTTCACTCAAACAAATAATAGGGTTATAATAAATAAATAATAAATAAATATAAAAATAATAATAAATAAGAAGAAGCCTATAATAAGAATAAGAAGAATCTAATCACGATAACGAGCATAGATGAAAATTATAGTAGAATTTTCCAAAACACAATAGAATACAAAGCGCAACAAGGAAAAAGCGAAAATATCACAGAAGCAAATGATGAATGATGGAATGAAATTTTGCATCACTGTGATAGCAGTTCTAGCCAAAATTGTTATTTCACGTTAAAGATGCGGCGTAAATTTGAGTGCAGATGTTGAACCGTGTTCGATCAATTTTTACTAATATAATATTTCTTGTAATTTCCCTAATGCGCCTCTATTCTGCCAACATAATAAATTCGACCTGTTTCTGACGCTTAACTTGAAGTTCGTCAACTCAAAAAACATGTCAAAACAGCAGAATAAACGCATAGTTATTAAAAGATGAAACTACACTCGAAACGTTAGAAAATTATCAAAGCTGGTCAACGATAAATAAACTTCGTACACGATGCTTCAAGAACCATGCTCTTTGATCGTAGAAACCACTGCATAAATACAGCCACATAAATGCACCTGCAGTTACTGAGCGATACAAGTACTAGGTGCGTAGACAAGGTCAGTCTCAGATCTGCAGGTCACCGGAGGCGACAGTAAGCATAGTAAGTCTACCGTATGCTGTTCCAACTTTCACTGACCCTCGAATGAGTAGTGACCCTGCTTCTATATGGTTGTTTTTTCTTTACCTACTCGCACTTCTGTTCAGATCAAACCCTAATATTTTAGGCTTTGGCTTTCACATTACTATTAATTAATTCCGTCATCAGCCTTTTAGAATACGGTTAGCCTCCTGACGGAAGTCTGTGATGTCCCTCGAGTTGTTAACCGTGTTGCTAAAATTATTATTATGCGCGGAAGAAGAAAGATTCACTGGAAATTTGTTGCTTCGTTTAAACTATTAATCTGCTTCGGTGTTTATCCGATCGAGATGTGCACGTTTATATTGGCAGTATTAGATGGCGGAATAAACTTGTTTAAACACGCGTGGTTTACGAACAGAGAATTTATCGACTTAAATTTTCAGGATCGAACAATATTTTTCAGAAGACGCTGGTTGATAAAGATGTAGGCTAACAGAAGAAATTTTGATTTATTAACGATCTTCTGTATGTGCTCAAAGAAAAGAAATTTCGCTGTGATTTTTCTCAAAAAGTACATAGATATATGAATATGAGAGATGATTTAATGCATGAATGTCTCCAGTAGTTTTGTTTGAACTCACCGAATCCCTTGAACATTCCGTAGAGAGGAGTCATGGGTCTGCCCGTGAACGCCGACTGATTGAACGCTTCTCTGATCACCATCGGGTCTGATAGAACGATCATGACGCGCTGTCCCAAAGCAATGCTATAAATGTCGCCAAACTTTTTCGATAGTTCGTACATGGCAATGTAGGTGTTGGGCCCCAAAAAGGGCAAGTAACCGAAGAACGGGATTCCCCACGGTCCGGGCGGGAGATTCATTCTTAGTTTCCTCACTCCGGACACCATAAAAAAAACTATTAAAAGGATGAGGGTACATTGCAGTAGGTGGGAAGCCTCGTATATTAAGAAGTGCAGAAGCATCTTGAATAACTACGAGCGTTGGACTTCGCGGACGCTTATATAGGCGCAAGTTGCGTGCTCTATCGGTGCAGGGCGGAGTTTGCGCGAAGAATGCAAGTTCCCGTTCCCGTTGAAGGAGGAGCGATCCTCGCTGCTGCAGTGACAGGAGTCCTAAAAGAGTCCTGAAGGAGGCGCTTGGGTGAGAGATGACGCACACCTGTACGGCCACTAAATCCTTCGCAGGGTGCCCGCGCTGTCCACCACCTTAGGGCCCTAGGGGGAATCTGCTTGGAAGCGAACGCGTCGATCTGTATTTGTTGCCACTAGAGGCTCGTGATACGGCGAGCAGGTCCAGAAATCTTAAGATTAAGATTAAATTAAATCTTAAAGAATTTCAAACATGTTTCGTTTAGTTCCCGATGAAATTTCCAAAAATGCTGATTTATTCAACGCTCATGCGCTCAGATGTGTAGAGCATATCTATGATGATAAGTTTGATGAAAAGCAATAGTTACACAAATCTATTTTTTATAATAAAGGATTTTACTATTGTCAACTAAATTTCTTGTCACACGCGGGATTAATTTCTCGTCCGCAGCCTCTAGCTGTGACGTTGTGCACAGACGTCCGCATCGTACCATACGTGGAATAGAATAATTAATAATCTGTATCTGTTATTTTATAATTCTTACCAAAAACCATTCAATCCTAGAACTATAGGAGCCCGATTTATGATCATCAATACGCATCTTAATACCCGAAAAATTACATAGAATACAACTGTTCACATTCGAGCATCGTACTAGTATTATATTATTCATCGTACTGTATTATACAGTAAGTAACATTAATTACGGTTGTGAGCAGCACAAACCTAGCGGCTGCATCACCAACATCTATTTTGATGGTGAGACACCAATCGTTGCCTGTTTTTGAATAAATTATTTTGATAAATATAAATCCGGCTGAACCATGTATGATTTGGAGGTCTAAACGGGAACTTGATAGATACTTGCATAAAAAATATACGAGGTAGCTTTTTCTTTCGAGTACTTAGCTCTTCTAAGTACTCGAACTAAGCTCTTCTAAGTACTAAGCCTTCGTGCTGCCTTCCAGCTCCGAAGGTCATGAGGTAAAACTCCTCTGTTCCTCCATGCTGCCTTCATTCCTGTGGTGCGATTCTATTCCTTAGGATCTCTTAGCTGCTTCGGTGGTGACGTGTTATTTTCCTCAGCCTCCGCGCTGCCTTCGAACCCTGGCGGGCGGTGAAGACATCAACAGACCAAGTCGCAAAGGGAAGGGGAGGGCGCAGTACCATTCCATTTAGAATGAAATGGCTCTGCCGAAATCAGCTTTCGCGATCATGTCGCTGTGAAAATATCTGCAATCTAATGTGTTAAATTTATTTGGATGAAAAATCCGGCCAAAATTCAAACACAATTTGATGAGTGATTACAATAGTACAAACACGGTATTTATAAAAATAATTTTACGGTGTTCGAGGTTGACAAGCCGCACCAGTATATATTCTCAAAAACATTTTAAAAGTCTATAATCAAGTAATAAGCATCCAGGTCTTGAAAATAATAATAAATTAGTATAAGTGATTAATAATCAAGAAAATAAACGGCCATGACATCGGCCGAACTGAACATCCGTCTCGTGATGCTCCACAGGACGTCGCTTTAGCCCTTAACAGCAACTGGAGGTTAGGCATAACTTCGCCCTGAGGGCTTCTTACGTTTTTTTCTTGCTTTCCTCTGTGGTTATTGCGTCCCCTACTTATTATTTCTTATATTCAACACAGTGAGCAATACGCATATTTTGTGATATCGTGTTGAACATTCCAAACCCAACGCTCACCATCTATTATAACGAAACCTGAGCCGTATCAAATCCAATAGTATATTTTGTTGACATTAAATTTTAATTTTAAACCAAGTTAAATCTTTTCTTCGTTTCAAATTCTTGCTGGCATGGATGATTTAAATAAAATAATGACATAACTGATTGTTTAAACTGCGAGTTTATTCAGCAACAAATTCGATAACATCGTTTTCATTAGCGCCTTCTTATGATAATTTAATGATGCGCTGAATAATTCATATTAAGAAACCCGAATTCGGGAGTCAACATTCCAAAACCCTTAATAGATCAACCGCATCGAGATCACTCGTGCGAGCAATCTTCATTACGACAGCGTTAATACATCAGCCACACCCCGTCTTGTCACCCCCACGATCGCGTTAAAAAATCCGCCACATCATTTCATCGTACTTGTGATCGCGTTAATAAATCCGCCACATCATTTCATCGTACTTGTGATCACGTTAATATACATCAGCCATACCATCTCATCGTCCTCACGACGGCGTTCACACATCCGCCACATCATTTCATCGTCCTCACGACCGCGTTCCCACATCCGCCACATAATTTCATCGTCATTACGAAAGCTTCAACAGAAAAGGTAAACTAATCTATGAGGATATTTCAATGTATCGAATTGTCTGAGGACGTTGAACTGCCCCGGCGCTCAGCTCAGCGGGGTCATGCCCTGCGTCTTGCCGGCATTTCACTCCCTCATTCCTGGCGCTGATCTAAATCCCAGATCAATATGAAATAATTGTAAGAAAATCGATAATAGGTTAGCCTGCAATACTTCTGTGGAGGTTGAACGTATAACGTGGGCTGGAAATTGTAAAGAAAATTATTTCTTTATCGTTCTTGTAGCAACTTGTCGTGGCTGTGAAACCCTAAGATGTGAATACCCAGAGGCTGGGTGTAGGGGGAAACTATGGTCGCTACGCCAGTGAAAGTCGTCTTCTGCTGGGCTGAGTTCAAAGGCCGGAAAATTTTGTACCAGGCTGCTGAATTAGGTATTTAAGATGGCGAATCTATTATTATCTTCTATTACCATATTCTGATATAAATAAATTTTCCATTGTAGGACGAACACTAAAAATATGTATGTACTAATCGACAATAATAATAATTTTGTTCTTTAGTTTTGATACCGAGAAATTGACGGCAGTCTACTGGCCATTAACCCTAAGCATATGTTGCTACCGTGATACCGAATTGTTTAGTCACTCCCGACATCTCAGCTTCGTTGTTCGCTCAGTTGAATTGTATTGAAAATTCGTTTTTCCTTTTCGTTAAGCGACAACATCAAACCACAATTCCGAACATTTGATATAAATAAATTGTACAATCTTCACTCAAGCATCACCTTGAGTATGAAGTCGGAAAAGTTATAATGAGAATTATACAAACGTTCTCTAAAATCCTGTGTGAAACAGATTTTATCTTTGCACGGCTCAATGAAGTGGTTGGTATCTTTGATAAAACGATGCAATTTTTTTACAACCCTTCTCTTTAACTTCACTTCTTGTTTGTCTGTCTGTCTGTCTGTCTGCTACAAATCTTGTAATAGAAATTTAACACACTTCAACTTATCCTATCGATCTGAAATTTTGCAAACTAGCGTAAAGTTGCAGACAATGCATGAATCAAATGACAAAATAAATAATTTTAATAATAACAATAAATTTTTTTTCAATATTGAAAAAACTGAAAAAATAATTTTGTCAGCTACAAATCTTATAATTGATATTTGACACACTTCTACCTGTCCAATTGATATGAAATTTTGCACACATGTGTGAAGTCGGAGGCAATGCATGAATCAATTGACAGAATAAATAATTTTGAAAAAATTTATACATTAAAAAAATTGAAAAATTATTTTTTCTAATATTCGAAAATTAAATGAGAAATTCATTGTACATCTGTAAGATTGGAGACACTGGATTCTTTGGAAGTGTTGTCTTTAAAAAGTAATTTTTAAACGTATATTATTATTACAACACTTCTCATGAACTTCACTTCTTGTTTGTCTGTCTGTCTCTCTGCTACAAATCTTATAATCGAAATTTAACACACTTCTACTTGAACTATCGATCTGAAATTTTGCACACTTGCGTAAAGGTGGAGACAATGCATGAATCAAATGGCAAAATAAATGATTTTGAAAATTATTTTTTTTTCAATGTTAAAAAAATTGAAAAAATAATTTTGTCAGCTACAAATCTTAAAACTGATATTTGACACACTTTTACCTGTCCAATTGATCTGAAAATTTACACACTTGTATGAAGTCTGAGACAATTCATGAATTAATTGACAGAATAATCAATTGACAATGAATTCTTTAGAAGTGTTGTCTTTAAAAAGTAAATATAAACGTATATTATTTATATTAATTACGGTACGGGTGCAGGGAGTGGTATCTTGGCTACAACGATCTCAGTGCTACGATTTAAAGCATTGTACGGCTGGATGGAATGGTATCTTGGATACAACGATCTCAGTGCTACGATTTAAAGCAATGTACGGGTGATGGGAGTGGTAGCTTGGTGTTTTTTTGTGATAATTAGATTAGAGCGCAATGTTTTTTTCAAAAACAAATATCAATTTTAAGTTATAATTATTTTGAAATGAACGAATCAATTTGTCCTCCACGACTTTCGAAAGCTGAAGTTGAACTCAACTCACTACAACTGAATCCCTATGAATATCTCAGGATAAAGAAAGGATGCAGGCCAATGTTGACGGCAGAGTTCGCTCCAGAGTTTACCCCAGGTTCATGCAAGAGTTCACACCAGGGCTCATTAAAGGGTTTACTCCAAGATTCACGCCAAGGTTCACGGCAGGGTTCTTACCTATGTTCATGACAGGGTTCACTCCAGGGTTTAGGCCAGGGTTCACGTCAGAGCTCCTGCTCTAGTTCATACCAAGGTTGAAGCCTATGGTTCACGTCAGGGTTCACGCCAGGGTTCTCACCAGGTACCACGTCAGGGTTCACTCAGCCTGATGGCGCCCGAAATCAGGATGATGGCCATCGTAGAAGGAAAAGTGTTGGTCATTAAAACGGAGAAAGCGAAGCTGAAGGTTAGGTTACCCCATACGTGTTCGCTTGCTGCTTTTAGGGTGCCGGCCGGTCTGGTAAAACTTTGGTCTTGCTTTACTGCGGTTTTTCGATGCCTTTTGGGGTGTTACGGATTTGTTATAGCGAACCACATATGGAGTAAAATAAGCAGGTACTTACGGAAAGCAATCCTTGAAAACTATTCCGACGAGAAATTATTAGGGCTAGAAAAAAGGTTTCTTCGATGAAAAATATTTTTTATAAAATAAGGAGTGATTGTTTCGTGAAATCTATAGCTAGTGGTTAAAGCAAGATTTATATTTTCGATAGCAGGACAGAAATTTCGTAACTCATTGTGTTGAACAGTGTTAATAGTTCAGCTTCGATCTTGAGCTTCTGAGGAAAGCAATGATATTAAAAACCATTTGTACTAAACGTATTGAAGCGACCGGCCGGCGCTGAGGTCGTCGACCGGCACAGGTCCAGACGGCCTTGTGCGCGTCACGAGAGACCGACGCGTGGTGGCGAGGGGTGGACAGAGGCGGTATAAAGCAGAGTTAAATCACAATGTTGGCAACCGTCGAAATATTTCGTTGGAATATAAACTATGTCAAAATTGTATTCATTTATATTTTACGAACGTGTGTAACGGCTAAAAGTACTGAAAAAGTTACTCAAAAGGTATTTAAGTGTCTGACGATCTGAAAGCCACATTAGTCAAACGTCCAAGAATTTGTCCTCATTTATTTTTAACAAGCTTTATTAAATTAATTACTCGCACTTTCAGAATATTGTTTGAAGGTCTCAGTCATGTTGCAAGGAGCATTTTTATGAAGGATCGCTGCTTGACTAGCGTAGAGGTTATAGTTCTTTTCTCTTACCGTCTTCATTTTCCTATGCGTTTCAAATGATATGTGGGAGGTTGCTACTTAACCTGTGCTGAAATTAAATTTATTTACTCATATTGTCCCCATTTGTTAATAACTTAATAAGTTTAAAATATAATACAGATTGCAAATTGAAAAATAGCAATGTTGGTCAAGGAATTACGACACTAACATTACGTAACGAGAGTGCTTGCTCTCTAAGGAAGATAATTTCCCTGGCGTGCTATAGGCTGTGAAAAAGTTCAAGATTATATTTTAATTACTAATGTTTACTGATTATGTATGTATTAATTACTGAAGTTTACAGATTAAATGGTCATTCACTTTTATTACTTCAACTGTAGCTCTAAGTTTTGTTAATGATTGGCAAATTTATTCATATATTAACGGAGAAAATATTTATTACATTAGGACTGTGATTTTAGTTGCAAACACAAATTTTACACGAAAGACTGAAAAGATTGTTGGATGATTAATAACTATCCAAAGAGAGTTGTCGAAATATAAAGGATCGAAGAAATTATTTTCGGAGAATTAATTTTGAAATCTATTTATGCAGCATGATATCTAGGTTTGCATAATCTTTCATTTGGGTCTCTGTTGATCTGATACTATTGCTGGTATTTTGCAAGATTTTTTCTAATTGTAATTTTAATAGGATTTCACTACGAACCTTAATGCTCAACGCCGTCCACGTTGCGCAGTCATATAAATCTCCCGTGCAGCTGAATACGCTGCGTTCTCTGACTTAACATTCCTACGTATGGCAGCCAAAGCCAAGACGGGCATTGAACCCTATACAACAACGAAAAAAACGCAAGAAACCCAAACAAAGCGAATGAATTGCGGGTGAAAGTCGGTGCGAGCGAACTCGAGATGCTGCCAGGATGGGGTTTGCCCCGTCCGGCGATTAGGCCTAACCTAGTGACGCTGGCAGATCGCTGGTGTCGCTCCATTCCGGACCTGAGGTCACCGAGGAAAATTCCGCCTTCAGATTATTCAGAACAATTTTAGATGCTTTAAACACAGCCTATATTTACTAACTGTTTGAATCGATCTCTTCGCTGTGCGCAGGTATTTGACCAGGCGTTTGGTTCAGTGTTTTAGCCAGTATTTGGGCCGTCGTTGAGCCGTTGTTCAAGCCGCTGTTTGAACCGCAATCTGAGCCGGAATTTAGTCTAGTGTTAGAGAAGCTGTCTGAACAAGTGTTTGGGCCGGTGTTTGAACCGCTGTTCGAGACGCTATTTTGAGTGGCATTCTGAGCCGGAGTTACAGTATGTCTGATGTATGAGCCGCTGTTTGAGGCGGTTTTTGAGCAGTCTTTGAGCAGAGACGGTCGAATGATCAGGGCGGGTTTCCGTCTATCTGCGGTTGTCAGCAATAAATTAATTTTGATATACAATTAAAATTTGTTTTGTTGAAACTTTATCTTTCTTCATTAAAGTGATCTTTTGTGATTTTATCGATGCCCAATTATTAAATTACCGCAATAAAGTAAGACCCATCAAGTTTTTTTGACTCAATGAAGTTTTATTAAGCAAGAAATAAATTTTTGTGTATATGACAAAATCTTTCAATTTAAAGGTACGTCTTATAGAAACTTCAACCATGATTGTTTTGTAGTAGTTCGTTGTTGCTTATTTCCGTGAGAACCGTATTAATTATTACTCGTATCTTATTTTGCATAATTTAGTGATCTATTTATTTTTCACACTTTCATCAAATTAATTACATACAGATTAGCTTAAATTATTTCCCCTATAAGCAAAGATAAAATTTTACGCTGCTGTTCTGAGTACGTATTCACTTATTGCTTGCCATATTTTTTCAAACTTTTATAATATTTTTCTGATTATCTAAGCTTATGTTGCCGGTAGACAACTACTCCTATATATACCTCTTCTACATTCAAGCTCTTGGCTTTGGTGCTTGATTGGATCTATGGATGGAGAGCGACGAAAAATATATTTACAGTTACAGTTGTAAAGCCATGTATTTGGCTGAATGAGGATGCTCTTTATTATTAGGAAATCGATGCCCCGTGAGTGTCAGTCAATGACGGAACGATCCTCGATGAGACTCACAGCATGGGACCACTGACCTTCCCGACCAGAGTTACGCGAGCCTTTATTTGCATAAAAGGGCCTTGCAGGGGTAACGTGAACACTTTCTCGGTCATGAATGATTTTAATAAACATTTACTACAGAAAACTACTACTGGTAATGTAACCTTGCAACTTATTGTCCCACGCTCGTCTCAACGTGTCCTTGTTGGTACTCGGCGAGTTTGCAGGATCTCAAAGTGGTACTCGGTCACTAAAAAAATTTATTATGAATACTTCACTTATAATACTTATTGCTGGTTGTCCGTACAAGGCTACGATTCATTTCACCACTGAAGCGAGAATTTAATTCGTTCATGAAAACACTCCCCTCAAGATGTTATTTAGTATTTCTTGTCCGTCACCGAATTCTTCTCGTCACCAGAATTGACGAGATGTTGTGACGTGTTTGATGCTGTGACGATAAGTCACAACATCAAACACGAGGTGACAATAATATATGGAAATTTTCTAGGAGGCGACAATGCCAATAACTTGGATCTCAATCCATGAAGACAACAAGGATCAGAACAATATGATTAAATCAGTGGATCCTCTCGACCGAACGACAGACGTGGCTAAAAAAATTGTGGTTTGATAAAAGTATTATGTTTTCTTGGCATAAAAACAAGTTTGTAAGGCCTGGGGGAGGTTGTGAACCCACTGACAGGGTTCAGAAACGGATCGTCGTCCCAGCATTCATGCAGTTCATCCTGTCCTGAATATTTATTGTCGTTCTGAGGTTCTTGACGAGGAGAGACATGTTCATACTTGCCTTCGTTTCCATCAACGTCGTCGTCGCTGGTCGCATCTCCTAATGAAGCTGCCAGAGGATTTGGTTTCCGGCAAAGTTCATTTTTTTCGGAGTTGGTCTCGAACCGGTCGCCGTGTCCTTCTTGAAGCAAAGAAGATGGCGTCGTCTCTCCAGCCCCCTTTGTGGAGCCGCAAGCTTTTGGATTGCCACTTTTTGCTGGATAAGAATTATTATAATAATCTTTAGGAAGCACGAGGCGATAGCGCAACAAGATCTGCGTCACGTACAGCACCAGGACAAGACGAGCGAAATCTTCGCCGGGACACACACGGCGACCTACAAAAACATTATAAAGGTCATAACCTTTCATAGACGGGGAAGCCTCCGCGATTTTTTGTTATACATTTGCTTCTATCTCAGAGGTAGATATGTTCAATACAACGTTATTAGTATATAAACACATAATATTCAGTTCCTTCAAAGCACCTTCAAACCCGAAGTATGCGATTCAGTAAAAATTAATCTTTTTAGCAAGCACGAGTCGGGATTAAGAACAGAATAAATTAAAATGATAACAAAATTAATAAAACTTGTCGAACAAACCGGTTTGGAAGGGCATGAAGGCGGCGTGCCTGATGATCTGCATCTCGTTGTGGTCGATGAATCTTTCTGGCAGGAACTGCTCAGGGTTCGTCCAATGCACCTCGTCCTTATGTACCTCAGCCAGCAGCGGGATGAGCATAGTTCCTTTAGGCACGTGGTATCCTGCGATCTCCAGGTCCTGGAGTGTAGGTATTGCGGTTGATTAACCATTCATGATTAACGCTGTACAATGATAATTAGGTAAACGCAGAGAGTCGGATTTTTATTGATGCCCCAGGCTTAAAAACTTGATTAATCCGGTATTGAAGAATTTCTCAACTTGCTGTTCACAACAATAAGTGATTCACAACTACAATTATTCTTGACGCTATCTTTTATCAGTAAAATTTCACGAGATTTGACATTCAGGATTTCATTCAAAAACAAAATGATCACAAAAAGGCAGTAGGATTTGCAGTAACTTTTGGGCTTACAAAATTAACGAAGGAACGTAACGGATGGTGACGTATTCAATAGATATTGACAACGTGACTATTTACGATTGGGTTGAAACTAAAAAAAGTAATTGTTTTATTATTGGATACGCTAAAGATGACATAACCTAAGCCCATATGAAATGCTTTACATTTTATTCAAATCGAATCGACGGGTTATCTCTGTGCAATTTTATTTATAACCTTCAAGCAACGCATGCTGTCGCTACTTCACAATTAACGAAGGCTGGCTATTACTTTTGAGGAATGGCCTTGCCCCCCTTCATTCTTATTCTAAGTTTTAGGTGAATAAGTGGACGTACTCATGCATTATAATTTTTATTTTACTTACTTATTACGCCCTCGACGCAACATAAAAAAAACTAAAAACACGAGTGAGAGAATGAGAGAGAATATATGTATAATTCAAGCGGCTATAAGCGAGTATATGTATAATTTAAGCGGCTATAAGCGAGTATATGTATAATTCAAGCGGCTATATAAGCGAGTATATGTATAATTCAAGCAGATATAAGCGAGTACATGTATAATTTAAGCAGCTATAAGCGAGTATATGTATAATTCGAGCGGATATAGAAACAACTTCAAAGTTGTGACGCGAATAATTAAGATTTTTTCTCCTGATATTCGGCTGCCATCAATAAGCTCAAAAAATTACACTTCGAGTTGCAAGTTGAAAATCCTTTAATCTAAATCTTATTCTTTTATAGTATTTATTCCACCTGATGATGGATTTTATGTATATGACAAATATTTAGTAAACTTGCCACGTCACAGCATGCGTGCTGCGTGTACTAAAATAATAATTTTCAAATGAATATCTAAAATAACGATAGATTTGTAGATTAGATAAATGTCACTTTAAAATGTAAAATAATTAAGTAATCGCTGAATAGAAATAACATCTTTGCGCTCTACTCCTTAGACAAAAACTAAAAAGTATTTACAGTCCAAGTTATAGAAATACGAGAAATCAGTAAGTGAACGAGGATTAAATTTCTCTCTGAAACACAAGTAAAAAAATCAATCACACTCATTGGAAGAATTCGTTTTATAGAAATAAAATCGATATATAACATTTTTATAAAATACAATAACTGATAAGCCAAATAAAATTCGTAACTGACTTGCGTGGTGCCGTGCGGGACGCCGAGCGTGACGACAGGATGCAGCCGCTGGCTCTCCTGCAGCGCCGCCTGCGTCAGAAGGAGCTTCGGGATGTCCGAGAACTGAACGTATCCTTCTGAAGCCAGTGCTGATATCTCACTAAATATTCTCTCCTGTAGAGTGAAATATAATAATCAGTGAAACATGAATTATCAGTCAATCACTCTTGCTGTTAATATGACTGACAAGTAATGAAACAGTGTCCCAAACGCGCTGAACTGAGCACAGAATGGTAGTACTTCTTACGTTTAATTAATTAATGTCTTTTATGTTCAATGTCTGACCCATGTCGGTGAGTATAAATTCTAGACGAAGTTATAACATTGGCTTATATAATTAAAACATAAATATAAAAATAAGTTCTGCTCGCAGAATTTGATCATTAACAACAACCACTAAAAGAAAGAACTTACTAAAAGATATACATCCAAATGGGCCGCAATAATCTCGTCAACCGAAGATTTATAAACAAGAGTTAAGGGTAGCATGCAAGAGCACAATCATGCTCAGGATAGCTGGATTTGAAATCATACTCGGGATAGATGGATTTTAAATCGAGCTCAGGATAGATGGATGTACCATCCTGCTCATGATAGATAAAATTACAATCCTGCTCAGGAGAGCAGAACGGGTGAGTCGTGACCTGGTAGTGCTGGTGAGCAGCGAGGTCGAGCAGCAGCCAGCGCAGGGAGGTGACGGTGGTCTCCGTGCCTGCGCCGAAGAGATCAGCAGCGAGGTGATGAAGCTGGCGGGGGGTGAAGCTCCCCTCCATGCCTGCACCACGCGACCACACCTCCTGCACGTCACCACACGTCAGACCACATCTCGAATGTGTTTCTGGTACTCAGGCGACTGGTACTCAGACGACTGGTACTCAGACGACTGGTACTCAGACGACTGGTACTCAGGCGACTGGTAATCATATTCCAGGTACTCAAATAACCTGCATGTAAGCGTCAACGAAGTGCCGAACTTCCTTCGCATCTTCTTCAGTTTGTAGCGCCTTCTCCGCGACGAATTTGTCGATGATTCTTTGGTAGATTGCATGGGACTTGATCTGGTTCTCCTTGATGAACTTAAGAGTCCGGCGGTGTTGCGGCAAAAATCTGTTGGAAGATTATTGCTTTGCAATGAGTCATTCCGACATTTCATCAAACATTGCTGAAAAAAGTAGAACACATTTGCTATCTAGACATGAGGTACAAATAGCACACATACAAACTGACCAGTAAGACTCTCTGATTCCAGGAACATTAATCTTAATCCTATATGTATTATTCAATAAAAATTTAAATAACCAAAGTTAAAATATGAATTTGAAGAGAAGTATTTTTCTACCGGGATACCTGCCTGAGACCGGACCCATTCTCACCCCTTCCTCCCCACTCCACTCATCCCCCAGGAAGCCAATGAACTCAGCCGTGACGATATCAGAAATGCGTAACTGCGTCGTGCGGTTCTGGGAGCCGTGCGTCGTGCACGGCGTCGCTGACGTCATTAATGCCACCGACATAGCGCTCTATAATCGCCTTGCGCTGCATCATTGACGCCACCGACTTACAATTTGTATATATTATATAATATACATCAATATTACTTAAAATACAAGACCTGAGCCAGGGTAAGAAGTTGAGAGGCCCCGCGACTCCGATAAGCTTGCTGCCCTCATCGAGGAGGTAGAGCAGACGGGCCCACTCCGGGTCGTGCCTGTCGTAGCATGTCCCGAACACCAGCAGGTTCATGGTGTTGCCCAGACTGTGCAGCAGCTCTGAACTGGGGTCCCTGATGCTCACCTCGTCTCCGTTACCGAGATTCTGGGGAATTTATAGCAAACAATATTACTCTGCACAAGAACAGCGCCAATAAACTATACCAAATTAATGCAAAATTATATTTAGTTGTTTATTTAGTAAAAATTGTCTTACGTGATTCGGATCATTTTTTCTTCATAAGCTTACCAAATTTCAAAACGATTCAATATTGTGATATATTACGATTATATTAAATTCCTGGAAGAATGTAATAATATATATTATGATAAGCATAAAATTGTGAAATTATCATAATAATTATGTGCTACTGCACTATAATCGAGAGTTCTTACTACGGCAGTCTCTTGGGCGGTCTGGAGTATGCGCATGCGCAGAGCAGCCCGCGCCGCGCCGCTGCGCATGCCCAGCGCCCGCATCACGGACACCGTGAAGCGCCGCTGGTCGCGCCATAGCTCCCCCTCTGCGCATACGAGCCCTGTACCGCAACAAAAAACATTATAAATATAATTGATGTGAAACCCAGTACATTTTGAGTAATAATGACCTAAAGAAATCGATGAATCTTTGAAAAGTAGGAATTTATCTTACGTTGTATATGTATATCGGCCCCAATGCATAGGAAAAAATAAAACGGAACAATTGTTTTCTTGTATAAATTGTTCAGGATATCTTTCAAAACATAAAGTTTCTTTGGCCACGAAAATATTAGAAAAAAGAATATAAGAAAGTTCTTGCGCTTTCGGATTGCGGGGAGAGTAAGATCCACGATATAATTTTTTTGAGCAATATTCTCTATATTTTTTAGAGTAAATCTAGAAAAATTTGAGACCAATGATCTGGCTAATTTAATTCGATCAAAAGGTCCTGATAAAACACGCAAGAAAACTGCACGCTCTCTATACCCTCATAATACGCACGTATCTTCAGAATATTACCACGTTTTTCTTGACTTCGTTTCGTGTGTCTGTCATCAAAAATTCAAACCTTAATTTAGAGCACTTCTAAACATCCTAGTAAGTTGAAATTTGGCATGCATGCTTATGCGGCCTAACAATTCAAGATTTGATCATTAGAAATGATAATTTTGGAAAAAAATAAATTTTTTAATTAAAAAAACACTAAAAATTCACGGTTTGGAATTGAGTTTTTTCTCGAACATCCACACTTGCCAACCCTGGAAATTGAGTTGAATTGCTAAAATTGCTAACTAAAAAGTAGAAAATAAATAAATATAAAAATATTTTATAAACCACGTTTTTCTGGTTTTTACAAAACTAAAAATAGTGAAATAAAACAAATAAAAAACTTTTAAAAACCACGTTTTCTTAACGGACAAAAAAGAAAAACATTTGCTCTTACATAACATTACATAACATTTTACATAACTTAAATGTTATGTAGGAGTAAATGTTTTTCTTTTTTGTCCGTTAATTAAGAAAACGTGGTTTTTAAAAGTTTTTTTATTTGTTTTATTTTACAGATAATCACGTGCTCACATTATCCTCTGAACAAAAGCACACGCGTAAAATAAATAAATTTGAATGAGCACCCACGTGTTTACGAAGTTTCTACAATGTCGAGAATATAATCGTGATTTTAAAGGGTTATGTGAATTTTATAAAGTTTGTAAGACGTGCATAGAAAGTTAAGTAAAATCCCCTGATACATTCTCCTAGGAGGAAAAGAATTCTATACTCGGGCCGATGACGCGGCGGGCGTCAGCCTTGACTCGAGCTCCGCCGACGATAGACTCGAAAGCCTTGACATTGACGACAACATTTCTGGAAGGAATACTGAAGTTCAATGAACAACTCACTTGTTTATAATTTATATCGAAAACAATTAGTAGATCTCAATTTTGTATCTAGACGTATCGTTTCGAATTAAACTTATGGTCGCTTAAAATGAGAAACCTAAGTTTTAACAGTTTAATTAAAAGTGTTGTACAGCCGTTGTTTGCTCAACGAACATTTCAAGTTCAAAACGATAGTGTTATGCTGTTCGATTAATTGATTTCGTGGTCGAATCACATAAGATGCAATAATAATTTCAAGTTCTGCAGTCATCGCACGTTGTAAGATGATCGTAAGTTCTAGAAAGATCTTAGTTCTGGAATATTCAAAAGATTGGGAATGACAGTATATAGCTCCATGATAGACCTGCGTTATATCGTCTTCTTGAGTTAATTTTCTGTTCTGTGATGATCGCAATTTCTGGTCGATGTTTATTAATCAGTCATAACTCAATGGCGCTATGAGTTCACTCATGAACTTCAATGAAGACTATGTTGCAAGCGTAACTCTATCTGCATGATGTCTGCCATATTTCTTCATGAGTCTACATGATTCTGTATGAGTCTGCATGAATCTACACGAGTCTACATTAGTCTACATTAGGTAGTCGAGAGGATTGATGCGTCTGAACGTCTAATAGATAAGACTGCTTGTCTCCACGAGAGAATAGTAGAAAAACGGAAGTGAGATATCTAATCATGTCAAGGTCTGGTGTCAAGGGCAGATGCCAAGGCCTGTTCAGTAACTGCTACATCTGTCAAGAGTTATATATATCATGATCACCACAGCTCAGTACTGCTCGCAGGTGTGAACTGTAAGTTCTTGCGTCACGTAGAACGTAACTGTATGTTCGAGTAAGAAGTGGTAGTACCACAACGTCTAAGATTTTCACAGTCGTGAGTTGTAAGATGGTAAGATGCTATAGGCTAAAGGTGTACGCTTGCAACCTCACTGGTGAATAGAGCTTTATTTATTCATACAATATCTGGGAAACGTGTAAGGAATGAAAGTTTTGAGTCTTCGGCCATAATATCTTCGGCCATAATAAATTTTTATAAATACTGACCAGAAGCTGCTAAATATAATTATGCTAATAAGTGTTAATGAGATGTAAACAACACTTTTAGTATGAAGTACACAATATGCAAATATATGTGTTATGATGTTATATTATTCTATCAATTAGAAAAATATGTAATACCATACTGAACATTGTTGAAAACAGGTGCTAATCATGTAGTCCAATAAACAAATATTAATGTAAATAAATGAAAAATTATTTAATAATATGCAATAAAACAATTAATAGGGCAGGAAGCCAATGAATATATGCACAATACAGTAACGAATTTGGCGACAAAGACATGAATAAATATGATGCCAAAATGTGGAATTAGGATGAAAATTTAAATAGTGACAATTTTTTCGGAAAATAATGTCAGCGACTTGAGTAATCTTATGTTGGTGGTCAACCTTCCACTGTCCATAAATTTTCATTAAAAGCCTTGCTTTATCAATCAACTTTCAATCAATTTGCATTCAATTATCTGCATTAAATTCGAATCTTTCATTGAGTGTCAATCATGTCCGTCCACTATTAATTGTTTTTACATACATTTTCACACAAATTTTTACTCTCTTATAATGTTTTCCTGTTTGTTTTTTGTCACGTTATTGTTTTTACACATCCTCCCTACAGTTTTCTTATTTCAAGAGTAATCTTGCATTGTAATGAATTTCTCCCTTCACATGCATTCCTTCATGCATTCAATTGCCAAAAAATTGATTGCAAGATTTCGTAGTTGTGTGAACTCTGTTTTGGGATTACAAAAGTACGTTTTACCCAAAATAATAAATTTTGGTCATATGCAAATTTTTAAATTTGATTTGTAGAATTTAATTTTATCTGACAAGAATTAAATTGGCGTTGTATCATAATTTAAACGAACGATTTTTATTTTAATTCTCAATTATTTCTTATTGAATTCTGATGGCTACAAGGAAGACTTTTCTTTGTCACCTAGTTGATCTCAAATCGACCCTTCTTCAGGCTCACAATGAACATCAAATCATTATATGAAATCTTTCATTGAATTCATGTAGGAAATTCTTTACTATTCATAATATTTTTATTGAAATTGCAGGTAATATCCCCTGCTAGATGAATGCATTTACCTGCGTCGCTTGTAAAGTTTGAAATAAATAAATGGCATTTGTTTGTAAAATATAGTGATACACAATATTGTGGATCGTAATTCAGTTAATTACTATGTTTTAAGGAATTACTAGTTAATTACTCACTATAATACCTATTTACTTAAAAAGATGGCCACGGGCTATTCCGATATTCAGTGAGACGTTATAACCCATTATGCATCTAACGTTGAAATAACGCTAATAAAACGCTGTTTAAGTGGAATAAACATGTAGCCAACATTATTTCGGGGGAAAAAGATTTGTTTCGGGGGATTTTTGTTTTTAGCCCAGACGGTATGCATGGGTATTATTCATATATAACACGGCTAGCAGCTAATTCTGTATTCCTTCTGAAATTGCATTCGAGAATAGTTTCCTTATGGTGAGTTCCAACGAGCGGAATCCAAAACTGCAAAACTGCGGTGCTAATAATTAGTTGCGTCTAATGTTAGTTCACGGCATTAAAGATCATTGAAGAAATAATTTCGAAATTAAGGTTATTTGGAACAATCGGCCATTCGGGCCGTTATTTTCAGGTTAAAAATTCTGAAAAAATTTTCACAGTAATTGTTAGCCCTTCGGCCAAACACATTCACAGATCTTTATTTTGATTAGCCTGGGTGGTTCTAATCGTTGAAAATGTAAATTTTTAAACTTCGTCATTTTATTCGATGATTTTGTATGCGTACTGCGGAGACAGCCTGAGTGGTCAACTAGTCCACGGAAGTCGGCCTTCACACATCAGTTACTCAAGAGGCCGCTGTGCGCGACTCGGCGTCGTGTGGCTATGTTGGGCGGCGTACGGACTTTAAAGATATAACTCAGGACTCACTGCAGTGAGTGACAGAGAGCGCATTTTCTCGCCGACGAAAACTTGAGGTCACGGACGGACGGACAGACGGACAGACAGACGGACATGGCGAGCACAATAGTGCATTTTTTTCATAAATGAGAAAATGCGCTAAAAACGCAAGAAATCTCTGTACAGTCATGCAAAGAATTAAAACTGCTCCAATAAAATCAATCAAATCCCTTGCGTCTTAACATTATGCTTGCATAGTCATAATATACTACATAATTTTAAGGCCATCAGGTAATTTAGATCCATTATTGTAATTTTTGTTCAAATTAAGAAGACACACAGGTAAGCGGTCCAAATGAGTACGGATAATTTCCTGATCTTTTCGTCGCTTCGTTTCACGATCAAAAGTTCACGATTGAGCAAGTTTGAGTCCACAAACGGAAAGCGATATTTATTTATCAAAATCGAAACCAAAATTCATACTGACGATAAAAAATATAAAATCAGATCAGATTCAACGGCAGAATTTATTTAGACATCAACAAATGTCAGTTGAATGTAAAAGTTTCGAGCTATTGTCTCGCTGTTTCCTCGTGATAATGCAGCTTTAATATCCTACTAATTGATTAATTAATCATTGTTAGGCCTACATGTACTGCACATTTTTATGGGCCTCAGTATACT